ATTGACAACAGTAAATGTCCTGCAGAGTACAGCTTGATGGGGCGATTGACAACAGGAAATGTACTGTACAGCTGTGGTTAAAGTGACCGTGCTGGACAATCTCTCAAACCATCTTCAAACAGGACCACAGTTAGTTACTGCATGTTAGTTATAAGAGCTATGTCTCTGTACACATTCTTATCTCACTTCTTATACCACACAGCCTTCCGTTATACCACACAGCCTTCTGTTATACCACACAGCCTTCCGTTATACCACACAGCCTTCTGTTATACCACACAGCCTTCTGTTATACCACACAGCCTTCTGTTATACCACACAGCCTTCTGTTATACCACACAGCCTTCTGTTATACCACACAGCCTTCCGTTATACCACACAGCCTTCCGTTATACCACACAGCCTTCTGTTATACCACACAGCCTTCCGTTATACCACACAGCCTTCTGTTTTACCCAACAGCCTTCGTATACCCACAGCCTTCTGTTTCACACAAGCTTCGTTACCACACAGCCTCGTATACCACACAGCCTTCCGTTATACCACACAGCCTTCGTTATACCCACAGCCTTCTGTTAACCACACAGCCTTACTGTATACCACAAGCAGCTGTACTGTTTACACACAGCCTTCTGTATATCCAACACAGCATTCTGTTATACACACAGCCTCCGTATACCACACAGCCTTCCGTTATACACACAGCCTCCGTTAACCACACAGCTTTGTATACACATCCATGCCTTCTGTTATACCACACAGCCTTCTGTTATACCACACAGCCTTCGTTATCACCACCAGCCTTCTGTTATACCACACACTTCCGATACCACACAGCCTTTGTATACCACACAGCCTTCAGTATTACCACACAGCCTTCTGTTATACACACAGTCCTTTGTTATACACACAGCCTTTGTGCATACCAACAGCCTTCGTTATACCCACAGCCTTTGTTATAAACACAGCTGACTCTTACCACACAGCCTTCTGTTAACCACACGCTTCCGTTATACCACATAGCCTTTGTTATACCAACAGCCTTCTGTTATACCACACTACCTCTGTTATACCACACAGCCTTCCGTTATACCACACAGCCTTCTGTTATACCACACAGCCTTCTGTTATACCACACAGCCTTCCGTTATACCACACAGCCTTCCGTTATACCACACAGCCTTCTGTTATACCACACAGCCTTCCGTTATACCACACAGCCTTCTGTTATACCACACAGCCTTCCGTTATACCACACAGCCTTCTGTTATACCACACAGCCTTCTGTTATACCACACAGCCTTCTGTTATACCACACAGCCTTCCGTTATACCACACAGCCTTCTGTTATACCACACAGCCTTCTGTTATACCACACAGCCTTCCGTTATACCACACAGCCTTCCGTTATACCACACAGCCTTCTGTTATACCACACAGCCTTCTGTTATTTACATTTTTTTTTTACATTTTAGTCATTTAGCAGACGCTCTTATCCAGAGCGACTTACAGGAGCAATTAGGGTTTAGTGCCTTGCTCAGGCAATCGAAATTTTTCACCTAGTCGTCGGATTAGACAGCGACCTTTCGGTTACTGCACATCTTCCGTTATACACACAGCCTTGTTATACCACACCTTCGTTAACCACACAGCTTGTTTCACACACAGCCTTCGTTGATACAACCAGCTTCCGTTATACCACACAGCCTTCGTTTCGTTATACCACACAGCCTTCCGTTATACCACACAGCCTTCTGTTATACCACACAGCCTTCCGTTATACCACACAGCCTTCCTACTCATAATAACACCAGCCTTCCTCACACCCGTTACCCACCAGGGTCCATCTCAAAGGAGAAGAGATGTAATCAATCACATTTATCAGCAGATGTCACAAAGTGCTATAACCATAGCTGGACATGTAATGATGTACTCCAATTGTGCCAAACCTGATTTAGCCTAGATATTTGACATTTTCTACCTTTCTTTCCAGGCTTGCTTCCGCTGCTTTCCTCAGCTTGACCGTTTTCTGTTTGTATGCTGTTGCCCTTTGTCATAACCTGTCATAACCTATCCCTTCCTACATCCCCAGGCTGCTCCCTCCTAACAGCTATATCTGTTATATCTGTTTTGCTGATCTTCTCCCATCCAGTCTGGAAGCCAGTGATTGGGCAAAACCCCTGTCCTCCTAGATGACAGACAGCGTTTGATTGCTTTGTTTAATTGCCTGTCATTAGTAAATTGACCAATTGGTCAACAGTAACAGATTAATATGGGACAGGAGTTGACCATCACAGTGCCCCTTCCCCTTTCCCTTACTAATAGAATTGGAAAACTACAGGTAACTGACAAAATAAGGAAACACTTGAGTAAATGAGGGATGCAAAGTATATTAAAAGCAGGTGCTTCCACACAGGGGTGGTTGCTGAGTTAATAAAGCCATTAGCATCCCATCATGCTTACAAATGCTGGGCAGGCCATTATTTTGGCTACATGCCCATAGGATTGCAATGCCCCCATCCACAGGGCACAAGTGGTCACTTGGTTTGATGAGCATGAAAAGGATGAAACCCAATGCCATGGCCGTCTCAGCCCCCAGATCTCAACCCAACTGAACACTTATGGGAGATTCTGGAGCAGCGCCTTAGACAGCGTTTTCCACCACCATAAACAAAACACCAAATAATGGAATTTCTCATGGAGGAATGGTGTCGCATCCCTCCAATAGAGTTCCAGACACTTGTATCTATGCCAAGGTGCATTGAAGCTGTTTTGGCTCGTGGTGGCCCAACGCCCTATTAAGACACTTTATGTTGGTGTTTCCTTTATCTTGCCAGTTACATGAACATCATTTCAACAGAACTTCATTCCGGTGTTCCGATGTTCCGATGTTCCGATGTTCCGATGTTCCGGTGTTCCGGGGAGATTCTCTTTACTTTGTTTTCTTCTCTTCCCAGTTTTTAATTCCGATGACATTTTTGGTTTCTTGCTCTGTGTTTTTTGGTTTCTTACGGGTTATGTGAGGTAGGTAGAGAATAATGCAGCCTAGGGATATTTTCAGCTCTGATGCCACTGCAGAAATAAAAAGCTCATCTTTCGTGCTGAGGGGGACATGTAGGAACAGAGTGAGAAGGCAAACGTGTGTCTGGTCCACATGTCAGCATCTTAATCGTGGTTTAATTATGATTAATCATGGTTTAATCATGTCTTCGTTAAGGAGAATAATGTTTAGATTAAGTCATCTTCAGATGCCCTGTTAGCCTATAGCCAGTGGTGTAAAGTACTTAAGTAAAAATACTTTAAAGTACTACTTCAGTAGTTTTTTGGGGTATCTGTACTTTACTTTACTATTTATATTTTTGCCAACTTTTACTTTTCCTTCACTACATTCCTAAAGAAAATAATGTACATTTTACTCCATACGTTTTCCCTGACACAAAAAGTACTTGTTGCATGTTGACAGGAAAATGGTCCAATTCATGCACTTATCAAGAGAACATCCCTGGTCATCCCTACTGCCTCTGATCTGGCGGACTCACTAAACACAAATGCTTTGATTGTAAATTATGTCTGAGTGTTGGAGTGCGCCCCTGGCTATCCGTCAATAAAAAAAATAAAGAAAGTTGTGCCATCTGGTTTGCTTAATATAAGGAATTTGAAATGGTTTATACTTTTACTTTTACTTTTGATACCTAAGTACATTTTAGCAATTCCATTTACTTTTGATACTTAAGTATATTTAAAACTAAATACTTTTAGACTTTTACTCAAGTAGTATTTTACTGGGTGACTTTCACTTTTACTTGAGTCATTTTCTATTAAGGTATCTTTACTTTTACTGAAGTATGACAATTTAGTACTTTTTCCACCACTGCCTATAGCAGACCTCGACAGGGCAAGTTCATCGTTAGTAGTTGTTCTCTGCCTTTGATCGTTCTCATAAAATAACAAAGCTGCTGTATGTGTATCTATAACCAGTGTGAAGGAATCTCCCAGAGCTAAGAAATAAATGATAATGAGCCCGTTTTAAAGGAACAGTATTACTTTAATCCACTATTAGCCAGTGCTTCTACTCTGAACACCCAGGCCACAGTCTTTATTTAAATGACTTTAAAGATTCTCCCTGTCAGACTAGAGCTGTTCACATGACTTATCCCATGATGACCATGGTCGATGTGTTTGGCCAACACAGGGTGTAAGTCCTAAATACTGTTGATGTTAGTCACTGGGTTCTAGCCTGCATCTCAGTCTCACAGACACCACTATCACCACCACCTCCTCACTGTATCAGCCTGTTGTCTTTGGTCAGGTTTGACTACTGCAGGTTCATAGAGCTAGACTACATTCCAATGGAGACAGGCTTTATGGTTTCAATGCGCCCAACGGATCGAGGATATCTCACTACCAAGTCTCCGGAGCGGCACTGTCGGTCAGCACAAACTTCCTCTATTCTATCTTGAAAATTAGTATTATCGAAAAGTGAGTATGGCAAAGGCGCGCGAGAGCTATGAGCACAGCACCTATCGGCGGCGTCGAGGATGGGGCTGTTGGGGGCGGGGTTGGTGAGTTGAAGCAGAAGGGCTCGATCGCGGAGAAGAGCTATGAAGAGTGCCTCTCCGAGGGGGAGGATAAAATGGGTAGATAGCGTAGGAGCTAGGAGATAGATGTCGCGACTCACAGGCTCGCTCTCTCTCTCGTTTCTCTCTCGCAACCTTACTCTCTCGCTCTCTGGCCTCTTCTCTCGAACTTGTCTCTTTGTTATCTATGACTTCGTTCCCTAGGCATGGATTTGGTCTTAATGCCAAGATGCTTTGTCGTTGAATATACATTTTTTTTTGAATATTAATTGGAACTTTTCATAACTTTTTTTTCTATTATTGAACATCACTAGACATGGGAAGTTAGAGCAATGGAACATTATGCTACAAAGTCATGGCATGTAGATTGATCCAGGTATTTTCTAAACCATCACATGCAAGCTGATCTGTTGTTGGCTGGAGTATAACCTTTCACCTTTTTCTTTTGGTGTTCTCATTTATTGAAAGGCTTTGCTGACATTATTGGCATCCTACTTTTGTTTTGGCTCTTTTGGTTTTCTTGGCAGCTTTCATCTATTCAGAGTGCATGACATCTTCAAGCTGTCGCATAATATCATCTGTGTTACAGAACATCATGTATTTATTCCTCCATGATGGCCTTTTGTGTGTATGTCTTGGCAAGTTCTGTCTGTGTTTTTTTTGTGGGCATGTTTGTGGGTGAGTTTTGGGCATGATTACTGTTGGTTTAAGAGGAATCATTGAGGCAGGAATTGTCCTGGTGTCTGTGTTTTGCGAGATGTAGTAACTATGTCACTCTCACTCTGGTGCAGACGGACAGCTGCCCCAGTCAGCAACAGAGATCCCTATGGCAACGCCTCTCTCAGCAGTAGCACTAACTCTGGCTCCTGCAAGGGCAGTGACTGCAGCCCCACCAAAGGGTAAGACTCAAAATGGCTACCGCATCAATCTATAAGACAGGGCTCGATGCAATCCGTATTGCTTAAGGTCAGCAGTATAGCGTCATATGCAGCGTTTACCGTGAATGCGGTCTCTGCGAACGCCTGAACAGGGCCTTTAAATTGCAGTCGCGCTATACCGCGAATGTTGTTATATTTTGAATGATAAGGACGTGTTATTCTAAAGCCTTATAACTTGTTATAAGAATGTATGAACCTTAAAGCTGGAATCCTTACTTAAGGAAACTGCCACGTCCGTTTGGGATATTGCAACAACAAAGGAGTTACTTCAAATAACAAACACTGTTCATTCCCCTCTGACATCAGCGCAGGCGCAATAGAACACCAGACTATGTACTGCACTTTTTTTTTTTTACCCACGCTGCCGCAGTCTTACAGAAGGTAATGGGTTCTATCTCTCCTCTGTTTCCTCTCTCTCGCCAAGGCGTCACATGAAGGCATACACTTCATGTACAGATAACCATGGCATCCGCCCCCCTCCCCCCGAGCAGTACCTCACACCCCTGCAGCAGAAAGAAGTGTGTATCAGACACCTGCGGGCCCGCCTCAAGGAAACCGTCGACAGGCTGCAGGACAGGTGACACACAGAGACACACACTGGAATAAATCTCCAGACAAATATAGAAGGTCTCGACTCAGACCGTTACATTTTCCCAATAACACTGGTCTCACTAAACAGGTACTCTCTCTGAACGTACATTATGTAAATTCGATTTTTATTTTAGCATTTTATGTTTTGGAAATATAATGGTCTTTTGAAGTTGTAATCAGTAAGCATTTGCATATATATTTGAATGTCAACTGCTACCACATTTCCATCAAATGACCCTCATAATTCTTTCATTTTGTAATTATGTTGATATATAAATGTTTCACAAAATGTTTGCCGAATACATTAACTCTCTCTCTCTCTCTAATCTCTCTCTATCCTCTCTATCTCTCTATCTATATATCTTCCTCTCTCTCTCTCTATCTCCTCTCTTCTCTCTACTTCTCGCTCTCTCTCTCTCTCTCTCTCTCTCTTCTCTCCTCACAACCTTCCTTGTTTATCCCCACACTTCCTCTCTGTCTGTCTCAGGGACTCTGAGATCGATGAGTTGAGGACCCAGTTGTCTCGTATGCAGGAGGACTGGGTTGAGGAAGAGTGTCACCACATGGAGACCCAGCTGGCTTTGAAGGAGGCGCGCGTGGAGACCCAGCTGGCTCTGAAGGAGGCGCGCGTGGAGATTCAGCAGCTCAAGGAGGTAGTGGACATGGTGCGCAACAACCTCAGCTCCAGCGACTCCACCGACACCGGCGTCCAGAAATACTTCCAGGACATCAACGTCCAGAACCACAAGCTGGAGACCCTGCTGCTCAGCATGGAGCTAGCTCAGAATGGGGTGGCCAAGGAGCAAGAGTCTGCTGCTGCTGGACGAGGAGCGGCAGGGTGGTCTGGGGCTGGGAGGCCTGGGACTGCGGGGTCATGGCCCGGGAGTAGTCCCGCTGCATCAGGGACTGGAGGGGGTGGCTCCAAGAGTCTGTGTGGGTCCTGTGATGGCTCCCCCGCCCGCTCTCTGACCCATAGCTTCACATACACCAAGCTGAGCGACCATGCGCTGGCGGATAAGAACGGGGACGGCCTGTCAGGGGAGGAGACCCATGACAGCGGCTTTGTGTGCTGTGGGGAGAGTCACAGTCACAGTGCAGCCAGCAGTCGCAGTGCAGCCAGCAGTCAGAGAGCAGACCTGCTCCTGGAGGCAGCCTTCCTGTCTAAGGAGACAGCCTCTCTGCTCAGCACCTACTCCCATCTGCCACACTTCTCCACCTACGAGAAGCTGTGCTCTGGGCAGGACAGGGTGGCGCCCCTGCGCTGTGCCATGGGTGAGGCGGGCAGCGCCAGCCACCCCTGTCTGTCCCACCACCACCTTTACCTGCACCACCCCAGGGAGCAGGCCGTCCAGACAGAGAGCTGCCCCGTGCCCGTGGGGGTGGGCTACGCCTCTGACCTGGACACCATCGCAGAGCGCACCTTCCGCTCTCAGGCCTGCAGCCCCACCTCCACCTGGGTCTCAGACGAGGGAGACGACCTGGACTCAGTTACCGCGACGTCAGTCACCACAACAACCCTCACAGCTACAACAACAGAGCCCGGTCCTGGCCCTCCGTTACCCAGCTCTTCCTGCCTCTCTGTGGAGGAGGATGGGGAGGCGCTGGGGGAGTTGGAGAGGCAGACGGAGGTAGTGGGAGAGAGTGCAGGAGGGATGGTAGAGGTAGGCAAGCAGGAGGAGAACGGGGGATTGGTACAGTTGTGTGAGCAGGAGGAGGTAAAGGTGCTGGGATCGGTGGGGGAGGGGAAGCAGGAGGAGGTCAGGGAGTTAGATGTAGATAATCAGAGGGAGGAAGTGGAGATGGTGGAGGTGAGGTCAATGGAGATGGAGGAGGTGAGGTCAGTGGAGGTGGAGGAGGTGAGGTCAGTGGAGGTGGAGGAGGAGGAGGTGAGGTCAGTGGAGGTGGAGGTGCAGCCCCAAACCTCCCAGCCCAGGAGCAGCTTGCTGCAGCAGGAGGAGATCGCTGGGGTGACGGTGGTGGAGGTTAATGATGATGATGAAGATGAAGATCAGGCTGAGGTTCAGGGAGCAGTAGGCGGAGAAGAGGAGTCTACCTCGTCTGGGTCTGGACCCCCAGTGAAGAGCTACTGGAGCCGCCACTTCCTGGTTGACCTGCTGGCGTGGCGGTGCCTGTGGTGCCCACGGTGGCGTGGCTGTGCCGGGGGCCGCGGGGTGATGCTCTGCCCGTTTACCACTTCGGCTCCCTGCTGCGTGGCTGCTGCACCGTGGCCCTCAGCTCCCTGCGCAGGGGCGGAGGCATTAGGCACTACCCCGCGGGCACGGGTGGAGGAGCCATGGGGGGCACAGAGATCTGAGACAGGCCCCATGACAGCCTGGGATCTGCACACACACAACCCTGCCCTCTCTGGTCCTGGGTCGTCCTCCACCTGAAGTACTGGGTAAAGGAATGAGGGGAGGTTCTGAAGACAGGACAGCCTCCCAGCAAACCGTATAACTCTCTCCTTTGAGCCTGGCTCCTGGTGACCTCTTCCACCTCCTCCGCCGGACTGAGAAGAGACACCAGGATGTGTTGATGTGACACTGAATGGTAGAACGGAATGATTGAATGGACACTGAATGACCTGAGGGTGTGACTGATGGTGATTGTAAACTCTCTCTCTCTAGTGTGCAGGAAGACTGAAAGGTCAGTCTATGTGGGTCTCTTCATTGGTCCAATTCAATTTTGACTCATGTATAACTATATGTGCACACGACGTGTGTGTGAGTGTGTTGCGTGTGTGTTCTTCTCTGTTGTGTCGTTGTGTAGCCAAAGCACCTGGATGTCTGAAGGCAATCACAGCCATAGCTGTGCAGTAGTTGCTATGCTCATTTAGGAGTGAATGACTGGACATATGGCAGTTCCCCCCTAAAGGTACCAAGCAAGCTGCTGCTGTACATTTCTGCTTCCTGTCACTGGTGTCCTAGATTAACAATCCCTCTTGTAGAATTCAGTCCGTGTCCATGGTCCAAGAGTTAGTCATTCCAGATCCATGAACCGGAAACATCTCAAGAAGGAAGCATTTATAGAGATATAAGATTTCAAAATAGGAAAAATGTATTATGGAGTTGGTGTGAGGATTGTCATGGTAATCTGTTGTTATTTGAATGTTTGCGTTGAAATCAAATTATGACTGAGTTGGCAGAATTTTGTCTTGTTATTTTGGGCTGTAATGAATATGAAGTCATTGAGATGTTAAATAATTGAAAGGCTGAGCAAGCAGAAGCTGTACTGTAATGGTTTGATATTTGTCTTTGTTGGGGACTAATGAGCCGAACATGGGCTAACTGATGTCCTAAAGATTGTGATGCATCCAGCAAGAACAGTCCTTTTGAGTTGAAGTATATTGAGTTCTTCAGAGAAGAAACGGGACAGATCTTGTGATTTATTGCCTTGTTTTGCACTATTATTCACTTTATGAGGTTAAGCATTTCCCTTTTCCCAATTGCTTGAAGTCAAGTTTGTGTTTCCAAAGTCTAATACGTCCACAGTTTTGCGTCAGTTTTTTTTTTTGTGTGTGCAATATAATTTTGAACAGATATAACTGTATTATGGAATAAGTTTCCAAAGCAAAAGTGAAATAATCAACTGTAACAAGAAACAGTGAATTGAATTTAGATTGTAGCATAGTTTAAGTTTCATTAACTTAGATCCTGCCCATTACAGGCGTACCAACTTTCCTTTGAACTCTGAAAAACAGTTGCCTTCCATCACTTTCTTTCTTGTACACAATAGTGTTTTAGCCACTAAATGTTTTGCTGCTTCGGATGTGCGTTTATGGCGTTGCTCTGTATTCCTGTTATTTTATGCTGCTTGACAATCCCTTCTCTGCGTGGTTTTGCTTATTCCACCTCTTCACTATGACTTCCAGCACTTATGAGTAGTAAATCACGAGCAGTGATGACAACATAGATGATGGGTGAATGAAGGAAGGTGATGATGATGATGAGCTTGAAGGCCTCTTACACACATTGCACTGTTGTTATGTCATGTGCTTTACAGCAGATATGAACAACTTCCACAGCCCTGTTGGGATTTGTGTAATGTGACTCAATATTCTGGGTTTGCTGTAATTTCTCCCCCTTCATGTATCATCATAATTACCTATGAATGCCCCCCCCCCCCCCCCCCCCCCCCACCGCCATTTGTGAGGCCTGCTTGGTAAGGCCTCTAAATGTTTCATTAAAAGCCATATTCCTTCCTGTGAGGGAATGTGTTTTGAGAATGACTCTAGCAGAATAGCAATCATGAAAGTATAGTTTGAGTGATAATCATATTGATATGCATCTATATAGACTGACTCAGCTGAAGTTTCCCCAACAGAACATGGCGTGTAGGTCCAACCCCACTCAGGCTGGGAGTTATTGGTCGATCGCGAGTTCCTGCCCGACTAGGACTGGGTGCGCAGGCGTTCCATTGCGTCAATACCCAATGGTTGTGTGCCACGTCATCAACTGTGCAGTCTGGCATCAGATTGCTATATCATATGATGTGGTTAGCTGATATTATGTTCTAGACCTATCCAGGCATTGTAAGATCTGGCATGCATCTGCAATGTAGTCATGCAGGAACTCAATTATTTTATACATATCTTGAGCAATTCATTGGTGTTTTAAAGGAAAAATCCCCTCATAAATGACAGTTTGGTATTTTCTTCATTAGTCCACTGTTAATACAGTCCCAAAATGTTTTGCATTTCAGCAGTGATGTGGCCGGTGACGCTTTGCTTCTTGAAAGTCCAATATCTTGAAAAGACGACTGATGACATGCAAAACATTCTGGGACTGTATCAACAGTGGACTAATGAAATAAATACCAAAATATACATTTATGAGGGGATTTTTCCTTTAACAGTAAAACACCACCCCTTCATCATGTGCCAATATGCACAAAATAAGCTTAACTGGCTGTAGTGTTTCTGTCTGGGGTGTTACGTTAATTAAAAGGCTTACAGGTAATGCTCATGTTATAATCACAATTCATTGTTATTGCCCAACAGCTTTGTATTTTTCTGGGTTTTGAAGCATCATTTGATTTCTGATGTTCTGGTGTTGCCAGCATAGCACTTTAACAAGCCCAGTTCTCTCCATTTACTCTGAAGCTTCATTTTGATTTGGTAATGCACGGACGGCTATGATGTCAGATGGTGTATCTGTCCTGTGACAATTCCCAGTCCCCAGTGTACTGGTTTTGTGTGAAAAGCTTTTAGCATCAACAAAGATGATCTGGGTGATGGCTTTATTGGTGGCTCGAAATAACTACCCAAATCACATTTGGAGTCATTGGAGCTTGCATTAGTACATAGCTCATCACTATATATAGCACTAAACATTGTCAAAAAAAAATGTAGGATTATTTTTTTAATGTTGTGACAAAGAATATAGTATTTTAACAGGTTTCTTACTGTGTTACTGTATCCAACATCCATTTCACTCATCTTATTTCACAATATGATTGAAATATATCTTACCTCAGAAATAGTCTCTGATTCAGAGGGGTTGGGTTAAATGCGGTAGATACATTTCAGTTGAATGCAGTCAGTTGTACAATTGACTAGGTATCCCCCTTGTTTCCCCTTTGTGTTTTATACATTCACTCCAAGGAGACCTGGTTCACTGTAGTGTTGGTCTGAGACAGGCTGTGTCAGTGTACATTAGTAAGGGAGGAGTGAGGCTATAATCATATCTGAGATTGTACTGTATATCCCAGAGAAAACCACACATCCTTGGGGGAAATCATTTTAAGTTATCTTTGAGGTATCGTTATGAATGTGCAGTACCTTTATTTTCTGTTTTTCTTTAATTGTCCGATTATTTGTTCGACGTGTAATGGGATCTATACCCAAGATGGTAATGAGTTCTATAATATCTGTACCTGAAGGGCATTTTCCTTCTTTAAATGCTTTGTATGCGGCTCACACAGCAATCAATATTAATAGCTATAGCTAGTTAGATCAAATATCTTAATGTAAATTAAATATTTTAATGGCAATAGTACTGTGTACAGTACAGACATCACTGTTCATGAGTACAGATCCATTTTTCACTCCCACCATACTGTATAAAAACCAAAAGGCTCTATATTAAACAGCATGGAGAACAACTGACACCGCCATACTGTATAAAAACCAAAAGGCTCTATATTAAACAGCATGGAGAACAACTGACAGTCGTCTTGTTTTTATCCCTTTCTCTGTTCAGTTATCCACCCAGTTCTTTCACATTTCTTCACTAAATGGAGGTCATTTACAATAGCTGTGGAAAGGGAATGTAATCAAGTTTTGTTGTGGAATTTGAGTTTTAGGTTTTTGTTGGGCCTCCTCCCACTGTTTTGTTCTGTGGAGGCAGCCTATTAAAGGATAACGTCACCTGTTGATAAAGTATGAAATTGGATGTGCAGGAATGTGGTCTCTGAGTCCACCCCTGCTTTAGAGTTCACCAGCCATAGTACTTAGCTAAGATGGCCTTTGTACATTTTATCGAATCATTTTTGGTGAATGAATCCCTCCAGTTGTCCATTTTAAAACGTCTTCTCAGAACTAGAATCTGTCTCATGGGGCCTCCCGAGTGGCGCAGCGGTCTAAGGCACTGCATCGCTGTATCACAGCCGGCCGCGACCGGGAGACCCATGAGGCGGCGCACAATTGGCCCAACGTCATCCGGGATAGGGGAGGGTTTGGCCGGCTGGGATGTCCTTGTCCGGTCGCGCTCTAACGACTCCTTGTGGCGGCCATGCGCATGCACGCTGACTTCGGTTGCCAGTTGTACAGCGTTTCCTCCGACACATTGGTGCGCCTGACTTCAGGGTTAAGCGAGCAGTGTGTCAAGAAGCAGTGCGGCTTGACGGGGTCGTGTTTCGGAGGACGCATGGCTCTCGACCGTCGCCTCTCCCGAGTCCGTACGGGAGTTGCAGCGATGGGACAAGACTGTAACTACCAATTGTGGAGAAAAAGGGGTAAAAAGTACCAAAAATAAATATAGAATAGAATCCAAAGTATCTAAGCTACTTCTTCCTCCAGCCAGGAAATGGGTGTTCTAGACTAGAGTAGAGTAGACATTTAGTTGACATGTTGAAGGACATAATATTCTGTGGGGAGGGGACACCGATACAGCAAAATTAAAATGTGAACAAATTGATTATTTATTTGTTTTACAATAATTATATTGGTTACATTCGTATATATAAACGTTTAGATTCTAGCATTTACAGAATGATGGCTGTGTGATGTTTATCAAAGATTACATAAAAATACAATACATGCATCCAAACAAGAACACCAATAAAAGGAACATTCTAATATTAAAAAGAAACTCACTGATCAGATCTGCTTTTTCCATCTCGCTGTGCTCATCAATCAACAAGAGGAACATATACCCTGTTATAATAATCAAACTCACACAGAGGAAATGATTGAACCCTAGATACGTACATATTAATAACTTCAGTTTGGTGATTACTTTGTGCAAACAAATCCATTCCCAGAGTTAACTTCTACATACTTGTTGACATATGTTGTAGTTAATTTTGACTCCACTTGAACAATAACAAAAACGTTGAAACGGTTACAGGAAGGACGACTTCGAACAGGAAGTGGAAAGTGCACTTAGTGGGTCCGCCCAGCGTAATGGCCCAGCAGCGTAGGGGAACAGGGTTATGATCAACAACCATGGTGGGGTCATTGGCTTTTACAGCATTTTGACACAAAAGGCGAAAAGGTCACAAGCCAATTAATTTCCATGTTCTTTATGAGGAAGCTCTGGACTCATGGTAGCGTGCATGGCTTTAAAACAAAGGTGTACTCAATGCAATGCCACATACATAATTATACGAATACAATACTGGACTACAACAGTTATCATATAAAAATATGAAACATATAAAAATAGACAAGGGATGGAAGTAGTAAAGGAACAACATTTCAACCATAGAAAAAAAAGCATATTTAGATCTACGACGAAAGACGATGACGGTGATTGTGATACAACAGGTTTTTCAGTACAGAGAGCAAGAGAGAGTGAGAGAGAGAGAGCAAGAGAGAGAGAGAGAGAGAGAGTTGACCCTATTGGCTGTTTAGGGGCCCAATGGGAACTCTGGAGATTGTAGGCATCCTGCAGGAGACGTGGTCACGTTCCGGCCCTCACACCTCTGGCACAGAGTGGTCCATGGCCGACCGCAGGAGACCGCTGGACATTCTAAAAACAGAAAACACAGGTCTATTAATCCAAAATGATAAGTATTTTAGCAACTGTACTGAGCTGAGACCGTGTAATGCTATTCCTTAAGCTCCTAACTGCTTACCTCTTGACCATGTGTTCATAGATGAACTTGGGCATGATGGTGATGGTCATGGCTGTAGGAGAGGTGGTCAGGATGTCCTTGATCTGAGCATCCTGCACATCAACAAACAGTATTAACATACACTGAGTTTATTAGCTACACCACTCCGTTCACGAAAATGGATCGCTCCTATAGACAGTGAGTCACGTGACTGTGGCTTGCTATATAAAGCAGGCAGACAGGCATCCAGTTACTGTTCGATTGAACGTTAGAATGGACAAATCAAATCAATTTTTATTTGTCACATACACGTGTTTAGCAGATGTTATAGCGGGTGTAGTGAAATGCTTGTGCTTCTAGCTCCGACAGTGCAGTAATATCTAACAAGTAATATCTAACAATTTCACAACATATACCCAATACACACAAAACTAGTAAGGAATGGAATTTAAGAAAATATACATATATGGACAAGCAATGACAGAGCGGCATGGACTAAGATACAGTAGAATATTATAGAATAGAATGCAGTATATACATATGAGATGAGTAGTGCAAGATATGTAAACATTATTAAAGTGACTAGTGTTCCATTTCTTAAAGTGGCCAGTGATTTCAATAGGCAGCAGCAGCCTCTAATGTGCTAGTGATGGCTATTTAACAGTCTGATCGCCTTGAGATAGAAGCTGTTTTTCATTCTCTCTGTCCCAGCTTTGATGCACCTGCACTGACCTCGCCTTCTGGATGATAGCGGGGTGAACAGGCAGTGGCTCGGGTGGTTGATGTCCTTGATGATCTTTTTGGCGTTCCTGTGACATCGGGTGCTGTATGTGTCTTGGAGAGCGGGTAGTTTGCCCCCGGTAATGCATTCGGCAGACTGCACCACCCTCTGGAGAGCCCTGCGGTTGTGGGCGGTGCAGTTGCCGTACCAGGTGGTGATACAGCCCAACAGGATGCTCTCAATGGTGCATCTGTAAAAGTTTGTGAGGACTTTAGGTGCCAAGCCGAATTTCTTCAGCCTCCTGAGGTTGAAGAGGCTCTGTTGCGCCTTCTTCACCACACTGTCTGCGTGGGTGGACCATTTCAGTTTGTCGATGATGTGTACGCCAAGGAACTTGACTGCGGTCCCATTTATGTGGATAGGGGGGTGCACCCTCAGCTGTTTCCTGAAGTCCACGATCATCTCCTTTGTTTTGTTGACGTTGAGTGAGAGGTTATTTTCCTGACACCACACTCCCAGAGCCCTCACCTCCTCCCTGTAGGCGGTCTCATCATTGTTGGTAATCAAGCCTACTACTGTTGTGTCGTCTGCAAACTTGATGATTGAGTTGGAGGCGTGCTTGGCCACGCAGTCATGGGTGAACAGGGAGTACAGGAGGGGGCTGAGCACCCACCCTTGTGGGGCCCCAGTGTTGAGGATCAGCAAAGTGGAGATGTTGTTTCCTACCTTCACCACCTGGGGGCGGCCCTGTCAGGAGGTCCAGGACCCAGTTGCACAGGGCGGGGTTCAAAACTAGTGACCTAAGCGACTTTGAGCGTGGTATGATCGTCGGTGCCAGGCGCGCTGGATCCAGCATCTCAGAAACGGCCGCTCTCCTGGCCTTTTCACGCACGACAGGGTCTAGGGCAGGGGTATTCAACTCTTACCCTTTCTGATAATTCATTGCACACACCTGGTGTCCCAGGTCTAAAATCAGTCCCTGATTTCACAGTCAAATTCACGTGTTTAGCAGATGTTATTGCGGGTGTAGCGAAATGCTTGTCCTTCTAGCTCCGACAGTGCAGTAATATCTAACAGGGGAACAATTAAAATATGAAGTGGAACTGGCTTCAAAGTTCCAGAGTTGAGTTTGAGGGATCTAGGGTTCACCGAGAATGATGCGACAAACAAAAAACCATCCAGTCAGCGGCAGTCCTGTGGGCGAAAACAGCTCGTTGATGAGAGGCCGAAGGAGAATGGCAAGAATTGTGCAAGCTAACAGGCGGGCCACAAATCTAGGAACGCCCAACTCGTCGATCCTTGTCACGTATGGGCTATTGCAGCAGACATCCACACCGGGTTCCACTCCTATCAGCTAAAAACAAGAAGAAGCGGCTCCAGTGCGCACACGATCACCAACACTGGACAATTGAGGAGTGGAAAAACATTGCCTGGTCCGACAAATCCCGGTTCCTGTTGCGTCATGCTGAGTCAGGATTTGGCATAAGCAGCATGGCCCCATCCTACCTGGTGTCAACGATACAGGCTGGTGGCGGTGGTGTAATGGTGTGGGGAATGTTGTCCTGGCACACATTAGGTCCCTTGATACCAATTGAGCAATGATTGAACACCACAGCATATCTGAACATTATTGCTGACCAAACCCAATAAAGTATCTTTGGGATCAGCATGGACCAACATCCCTGTGGAACGTTTAAGACACAAATAATCCATGCCCTGAAGAATTCAGGCAGTTCTGGAGGCAAAGGGGGGTCCGACCCGGTATTATACTTATTAAACTGGCCACTGAGTGTACTTTGTTGTTTTTTTTACATTCAACTTTGGACACTGATTAATCGTCAAGGAGAAGTCACCATCAACATTCTAGGTCAAAGCTCACCTTGAGGCCAATAACATTCTGTCCGTTGATCTCACAGATGTAGTGGTCCGTCAGCAGGCCGTTGCGAGCGGCCGAACCATCCTTGACCAGCGAGGTGATCTTGCCCGACTTGAAGATGAACCCAACGTGGCCTGAGCTGTCTTTGTGCATGGTGACAGTACGCTGGAACGGCCTGAAGTCAGACCACAAACACAAAAGGCTCATGACGTAGTCACTACTCAAGACAAGCACTTACTAGTAGTGCAGTCCAAGTCCTCCTAATATCTGTCAATTGGGTTAGGGCTGGTATTGGCCTAAAGCTGTTTTTCTATTAAGGCCCATTCTTTTCTTTTTCAGTTTATTTTTATCATGTCCTTTGGTCGGTATGATATTTTGAGAAAAGGCAAAACAAATAACCTCTAACAGCAAAACACTACAACATGTAGTGTGGTGGTATGACCAGCAGGAGGAGCCAGAGCTATAGTGTGTCAGATTGTCACACCACAGAGCAACAAAGAACATTTTTACACTCCATCTAACATTCCCTCTTAATGGCCGGACATACTGATAAACATCAATATCTCATGACATAATCCAAGGAACTACAAACTGATCAGACCGGACTACACTCTGTATCTGCATTAAATAATGTTGGTCGTCATCTCATTCATCTCATCACCTGTCCCGGACGATGAGCTCGATGCGGGTCTCGGCAGCAACCTTCAGGGCTTTGTGGGCCTTGTCCAGGCTCCAGCCAGCACAGTTCTGCCCGTTGATCTGGAGGACCTGGTCCCCGAAGCGCAGGCCCCCCAGGGCGGCCGGGGAGTTGGCCTGAACCAGCTGGATAAACATGCCCTGAGGAGATGGAGAGAGAACCCTAATCTGTGGTCTGGCCTGAGGACAGATGAATAACCATAATCTATAGTCTGGCCTGAGGACAGATGGATAACCCTAATCTGAAGTCTGGCCTGAGGACATATGAATAACCCTAATCTGAAGTCTGGTCTGAGAACAGATAGATAACCATAATCTATAGTCTGGCTTGAGGACAGATGGATAACCCTAATCTGTAGTCTGGTGGTAAATTATAGAATGGCCTGAGGACAGATGGATAACCCTAATCTGAAGTCTGGCTTGAGGACAGATGGATAACCCTAATCTGTAGTCTGGTGGTAAATTAGGCTATGATAATGACTCACATTGTCGATGGCTCTTAGCCTCAGGCCGACCTTCCTATCCTGGTCCTTACAGAGGATGATCTCACGCAGGCCTGGCCGGATCTCTGCCCTCCTGATGCCCACGTCTGACCCCGTCACGGGACACACCATGCCACTGATGCCCATGCCTGAGGACACCGCCACCTGCTGTGGAGGGAGGGAGGGAGGGAGATAAAAGAGAGAGGGCAGAGATTGGAAAATAGATGGTAGTCGTGTAATGGAATGTTCCATTAATAAGCAGTTGGAGGTGGAACGTTACATCACTGTGTGGGAGATAGTACAGTCCATTTCCAGCATCACCAGGAGAACTTGTGATCTTATAGAAAATAGACTTCCGAGTGGCGCAGTGGTCTAAGGCACTGCATCTCAGTGGTCTAAGGCACTGCATCTCAGCGGTCTAAGGCACTGCATCTCAGCGGTCTAAGGCACTGCATCTCAGTGCTTGAGGCGTCACTACAGATCCCCTGGTTCGATTCCAGGCTGTATCACAACCGGCCGTGATTGGGAGTCCCATAGGAAAAAAATAAAAAATAAAATAAGACTTGCTTTTGACATAGGAGTGAGAAAACTAAAAGCTAATGTTATAAGACAGACTCTGCACTGTAAATTTGCCAGATTCTAGAACTGTTCTTTTTGGTGTTCTAAAGTGAATGAGAGATGTAAATGTCAGTGGACATGATACAAGGCAGTATGAGAGATCACCCACACACTCCCACTCGCCTACACACTGAGGGGGAGCAGAGGCCTCACACCAGGCTGTTGGGGAGTCAGTCAGTGCTGCTCTGGGAACACAGTGCTACGCTACACTGTACTCTGGTTTCTAAAGAGCCTGTTATGAGTTTGTAGGACCGGGACGACACCAGTATCGCAATACGAGTTAGTATCATGGCAAGGAAACAAAACATGAAGCAGATTTAACTTCTTTAGGAAAACAGCCCTAATGTTGGAAACAAACATCATTATGGTTGTCATCCAGTCACATGTATTTATTTTCCAAGCTATAGCACACAATATTTTACATACAGCAGGTTTTTAAAAGGACCAAAGAGTTTGGTCAGCTTTGTGTTTTTATTTTGCCATGGAAAAAAATATTGCGATACTGGTATCGTCCCGGCCCTATGAGTCCACTACTGGGAGCTCCTCCAAAACCACTGTCCTTCCTGCCTCTCCCTCATCCCCCAAAGACCCAGGCTACATGTCTCATTCCTGTACAACTCTGACGAACCAAATCTCTTGGTGAACCCTGTGTTGAATGTCTCTTCTCTTGTTGACCCCTGATGTCTCTTTTTTGAACCTGTTTGAAGGTCTCTTGTTGAACCCATGGTTTGAGTCTCTCTCTTGTTGACTGTGTTTAATTCTTCTCTGTGAAACCTATGGTTAATGTCTCTCCTGTGAACCATGTGGTTTGAATGCTCTCCTTTAACCCTGTGTTGATTCTCTCTCTGTGACCAGGTTGATCTCTCTCTGTGACCCGTGGTTGACATGTCTCTCTCTTGTTGAACCTGTGGTTGAAGTCCTCTCTTGTTGAACCCTGTGGTTTGAATGTCTCTCTCTTGTTGAACCCTGTGGTTTGAATGTCTCTCTCTTGTTGAACCCTGTGGTTTGAATGTCTCTCTCTTGTTGAACCCTGTGGTTTGAATGTCTCTCTCTTGTTGAACCCTGTGGTTTGAATGTCTCTCTCTTGTGACCTGTTGAATTCTCTCTCTGTTGACCCTGTGTTGAATGTCTCTCTCTTGTTGAACCCTGTGGTTTGAATGTCTCTCTCTTGTTGAACCCTGTGGTTTGAATGTCTCTCTCTTGTTGAACCCTGTGGTTTGAATGTCTCTCTCTTGTTGAACCCTGTGGTTTGAATGTCTCTCTCTTGTTGAACCCTGTGGTTTGAATGTCTCTCTCTTGTTGAACCCTGTGGTTTGAATATATATTTACTAGCTACAGTCCGAGTCATTGTCTACACTTCAGAATGTTTTTGTGAATGCAACCTATTCTGTGACCTAGGGCTGTGTGGCCTTCACTAGAAAACTACAGGATGTGTTGTGTCCTTGTGTTAGCTGGCCTGACGGCACTGGGGTCTGCTCTGCTGAGGTCTGAGCATCAGAAAGAGGAAATATCACTCAGTACAAATAGACCTTACATAATATGACATTCAGGCTTCCACAGACTCCTCCTCTTATCCCTCACTCAGCCAATGAGGAGGAAATACAGCTGAATGAGGTCACGACTGACATCCTTCACACAAACACATAGGGACACCATCTGACATACACCAAACAACAAGAAGTAGGCCTAAATCCTCCACGCTCTCGCACCCACCCACCCACACACCCATCCACCCACACACCCACACAACTTACATTGTCTGCCATGGGCACCAGGGCCATGTTCCTCTGCACCTCATCACTGTCGAGGCTCAGGCCCATGTACTCTCCCAGCTCCTCCAGGTTAGGGTACAGGGCTAGAAGAGAACAACACACAGTTAATGTATGGTCTGTATGTATTAGTAGAGCATGGTCCTCTGTAGTTCAGTTAGTAGAGCATGGTCCTCTGTAGTTCAGTTAGTAGAGCACGGTCCTCTGTAGTTCAGTCAGTAGAGCATGGTCCTCTGTAGTTCAGTTAGTAGAGCATGGTCCTCTGTAGTTCAGTTAGTAGAGCATGGTCCTCTATTGTTCAGTTAGTAGAGCATGGTCCTCTGTAGTTCAGTTGGTAGAGCATGGTCCTCTATTGTTCAGTTAGTAGAGCATGGTCCTCTGTAGTTCAGTCAGTAGAGCATGGTCCTCTGTAGTTCAGTCAGTAGAGCATGGTCCTCTGTAGTTCAGTTAGTAGAGCATGGTCCTCTGTAGTTCAGTTAGTAGAGCATGGTCCTCTATTGTTCAGTTAGTAGAGCATGGTCCTCTGTAGTTCAGTTGGTAGAACATTGTCCTCTGTAGTTCAGTTAGTAGAGCATGGTCCTCTGTAGTTCAGTCAGTAGAGCATGGTCCTCTATAGTTCAGTTAGTAGAGCATGGTCCTCTGTAGTTCAGTCAGTAGAGCATGGTCCTCTGTAGTTCAGTTAGTAGAGCATGGTCCTCTATTGTTCAGTTAGTAGAGCATGGTCCTCTGTAGTTCAGTTGGTAGAACATTGTCCTCTGTAGTTCAGTTAGTAGAGCATGGTCCTCTGTAGTTCAGTCAGTAGAGCATGGTCCTCTATAGTTCAGTTAGTAGAGCATGGTCCTCTATAGTTCAGTTGGTAGAGCATTGTCCTCTGTAGTTCAGTTAGTAGAGCATGGTCCTCTGTAGTTCAGTTAGTAGAGCATGGTCCTCTGTAGTTCAGTCAGTAGAGCATGGTCCTCTATAGTTCAGTCAGTAGAGCATGGTCCTCTGTAGTTCAGTTGGTAGAGCATGGTCCTCTGTAGTTCAGTTGGTAGAGCATGGTCCTCTGTAGTTCAGTTGGTAGAGCATGGTCCTCTGTAGTTCAGTTGGTAGAGCATGGTCCTCTGTAGTTCAGTTGGTAGAGCATGGTCCTCTGTAGTTCAGTTGGTAGAGCATGGTCCTCTGTAGTTCAGTTGGTAGAGCATGGTCCTCTGTAGTTCAGTTAGTAGAGCATGGTCCTCTGTAGTTCAGTTGGAAGAGCATGGTCCTCTGTAGTTCAGTTGGTAGAGCATGGTCCTCTGTAGTTCAGTTGGTAGAGCATGGTCCTCTGTAGTTCAGTTGGTAGAGCATGGTCCTCTGTAGTTCAGTTGGTAGAGCATGGTCCTTTGTAGTTCAGTTTAAAAAAGTGTTTAACAAATTTATTTAATATTTGAGATTCCTCAAATAGCCACCCTTTGCCTTGATGACAGCTTTGCACACTCTTGGCATTCTCTCAACCAGCTTCACCTGGAATGCTTTTCCAACAGTCTTGAAGGACTTCCCACATATGCTAAGCACTTGTTGGCTGCTTTTCCTTCACTCTGCTGTCCGACTCATCCCAAACCATCTCAATTTGGTTGAGGTCGGGGGATTGCAGAGGCCAGGTAATCTGATGCAGCACTCCATCACTCTCCTTCTTGGTCAAATAGCCCTTACACAGCCTGGAGGTGTGTTGGGTCATTGTCCTGTTGAAAAACAAAATGATAGTCCCACTAAGTCCAAACCAGATGGGATGGCGTATCACTGCAGAATGCTGTGGTAGTCATGCTGGTTAAGTATGCCTTGAATTCTAAATAAATCACTGACACTGTCACCAGCAAAGCACCCCCACACCATAACACCTCCTCCTATATGCTTCACGGTGGGAAATACACATGCGGAGATCATCCGTTCACCCACACAGCGTCTCACAAAGACACGGCGGTTGGAAACAAAAATCTCCAATTTAGACTCCAGACCAAAGGCCAAATTTCCACCGGTCTAATGTCCATTGCTCATGTTTCTTGGCCCAAGCAAGTCTCTTCTTATTATTGGTGTCCTTTAGTACTGGTTTCTTTGCAGCATTTCGACCATGAAGGCCTGATTCACACAGTCTCCTCTGAACAGTTGATGTTGAGATGTGTCTGTTACTTGAACTCTGTGAAGCATTTATTTGGGCTACAATTTCTGAGGCTGGTAACTCTAATGAACTTATCCTCTGCAGCAGAGGTAACTCTGGGTCTTCCATTCCTGTGGCGGTCCTCATTAGAGCCAGTTTCATCATAGTGCTTGATGGTTTTTGCGCAAAGTGCAGTCGCAAACCTTGTCACAACACAACTATTTGGCTCAAACACATTAAGAAGGACAGAAATTCCACAAATTAACTTTTAAGAAGGAACACCTGTTAATTGAAATGAATTCCATGTGACTACCTCATGAAGCTGGTTGAGAGAATGCCAAGAGTGTGCAAAGCTGTCATCAAGGCAAAGGGAGGCTATTTGAAGAATCTCAAATATAAAATATATTTTGATTTGTTTAACACTTGTTTGGTTACTACATGGTTCCATGTGTTATTTCATAGTTTTGATGTCTTCACTATTATTCTACAATGTAGAAAATAAAAAAAATTAAGAAAAACGAGGTGTTCTAAAACTTTTGACCGGCAGTGTATGTAGCTTACACAGTGCATTCGTAAAGTATTCAGACCTTGACTATTTCCACATTGTTACATTACAGCCTTATTCTAAAACGGATTTTTTTTAAATTCTCATCAATCTACACACAATACCCCATAATGACAAAGCAAAAACAAGTTTTTTGATATATGACATTTACTTAAGTATTCAGACCCTTTACTCAGTACTTTGTTGAAGCACCTTTGGCACTGATTACAGCCTCGAGTCTTCTTGGGTATGATGCTACAAGCTTGGCACACCTGTATTTGGGGAGTTTCTCCCATTCTTCTCTGCAGGTCCTCTCAAGCTCTGTCAGGTTGGATGGGGAGCGTTACTGCACAGCTATTTTCAGGTCTCTCCAGAGATGTTTGATTGGGTTCAAGTCCGGCCTCTGGCTGGGCCACTCAAGGACATTCAGAGACTTGTCCCGAAGCTACTCCTGCGTTGTCTTGCTTGTGTGCTTAGGGTTGTTGTCCTGTTGAAAGGTGAACCTTCACCCTCAGTCGGAGGTTCTGAGCACTCTGGAGCAGGTTTTCATCAAGGATCTCTCTGTACTTTGCTCCATTCATCTTTCCCTCGATCCTGACTGGTCTCCCAGTCCCTGCCGCTGAAAAACATGCCCACAGCATGATGCTGCCACCACCATGTTTCACCGTCGGGATGGTGCCAGGTTTCCTCCAGACGTGACGCTTGGCATTCAGGCCAAAGAGTTCAATCTTGGTTTCATCAGACCAGAGTTTCTCATGGTCAGAGTCCTTTAGGTGCCTTTTGGTAAACTCCAAGCGGGATGTCATGTCATGTAATAATGAACTCAAATGTATTAATGTGAAAGATTAATTGTATTTATGTGAACTATTTATGATTGTAAAATGTGAAAAACTTCAATCGATAATATTTTTTTACTAAAAAAGTTAGGGTGGAAAGGAAAAGGCCACATGCATGCCAAGGCATGTGGTAGATGGATAAAATAAGCCAGACAGTCACACAGCACATGCATAAATAAACATAAAAGGCATAAGGCCCTATTTTTGGTTCAAACTAAGGAATACACATCATTGGTTTGGTTAACACACATACTCATTTAACTCTTGGCCTCTCTTCTCACTAACACACACCTACAACACCACTCCGCTAATCCAGGATATAAACTGACCTTGGCCTGGTGTAACCTGTTATACTATTACCTCTCAGAGTTGCAGTGCTCTTCTGCCAACCCCAGGGATTCAATGATGTCTCACTGTTACTCTTTCACTGTCACCTGACCTCAACACTTGCCTCTATGGATCACCAGGGCTGAGCCTGACCTCAACATTTGCCTCTATGGATCACCAGGGCTGAGCCTGACCTCAACACTTGCCTCTATGGATCACCAGGGCTGAGCCTGACCTCAACACTTGCCTCTATGGATCACCAGGGCTGAGCCTGACCTCAACACTTGCCTCTATGGATCACCATGGCTGAGCCTGACCTCAACACTTGCCTCTATGGATCACCAGGGCTGAGCCTGACCTCAACACTTGCCTCGATGGATCACCAGGGCTGAGCCTGACATGTGTTCTTCTGATAGTGGACTGACACATACAGAAAGGGCCTTAGCACTGGAGCTTTACCAGAAGTGTAATAACCTCCATCCATCAGCATAATTGAACTAGACTAGAACAGGTTAAATACAGACGTAACAGCATGGGGATATTTGCTGAGAGATGGTGAGAGAAAGAATTCAGAAAATGTAAGAGAGACCGAATATAAAAAAGGAGAAAATGTAAGAGGATATGAAAGAAGGAATAACAGAACAGAGGAAGGAGATGTGTTATAACAGAACAGAGGAAGGAGATGCAGAGTTAAGACATGATTGGAGGAAATTAGGGAAGGAGGGGGAGAGAGAAGGAGGGCAGTGGGAGCTGTGGTTGGGCTGAGGTCCAGTGGTGATGTCAGACAGGGCCATTTCTTTCACCTCCTTTCCTGTCTGTCCCCTTCAAGCCTGAGGAAGAAACTCCCCTCCCCCTCCCCAGCCCTGCCACCAGGCTAGCCGTCTCCATGTCAACCATAAGCTAGCGCCACTGGGAGAAAACCAAAGCCCAGAGGACATCCCATCCTGAGAGGGAGAACGAGAGAGAGAGAACGAGAGAGAGAGAACGAGAGAGAGAGAGAGAACGAGAACAAGAGCAAGAGAATGAGAGAGAACAAGAGCGTGAAAGAGAGGAACAAGTGAAAAAGAGCAGAAAACCACCTATTTTCCTCCCCGTGGGCCCCTGTCCATCTTCTGCCTTCCTTTTATCTTGTACTTCTCCCTCCCTCCCTCCCTCTATTGGAATCCCTGCATTCAGCTCCCTGTGGTCTCCCTGCCCATTTCACCCTCACTCAAAGAAAGACCCTGAGGCTGAGAGGAGACAGAGCGGTGAGCTGAGGGAAAGAAGACCCCATACCCCTACTCCCTCTAATCCTCTACACTATGCATGTCCTTATCTGATTCAGAGAAGACCCCCAACAGAGACAAAGATGGAGGGAAACCAAGAGATGAAAGGGAGAGTAGGAATAAAGTGAGAGACCAGGGCCTGTATTCATAAAGTGTCTCAGATCTAGGATCAGTTTAGCCTTTTAGATCATAACGAATAAGTTTACATGGACAGAGGGGGACCTGATCCTAGATCAGCCATTGTACTCTGAGAAGCTTTGTAAATATGAACCCTGGTCTGGAGGAGGGCAACCAACAGGGAAACTATAAAATATGGTCTTTGATACTCTTACGTATCTCTGCGTGCAGTTTGAAGGAACTTGCTAACTAGCACAATGACTGGAAGTCTATGGGTATCTGCTAGCACGCTAGTTAGCATTGGCTCTTGAAACTCCCTCTAGCTACCTTCATATACTGGAGACAGAGACATAAAAAAGGTATCCACGAGTTCATCTGACTCCTGGGGAAGTAGATAAAGGGCCTCATAGCCAACATCCCAAAGTATCCCTTTAACGTGTGGTACAGGCCTCACAGAGCCGGGGGACTCACCTGATGATGGCATCCCCAGCTCAGCAGCCTGTGGCTGGTAGGTCCCCTCAGATATGATTGGGTAGGTCCCCTCAGCGATGGCTGGAGTAGCAGTGGTATGGGCAAATTGGGTCTGGGCCTAGGAGAAAGACAGTAGAGCCGTTTATTAAGTCGCCATACTGAAACTCAATACAACTCTTCCAGTATAAGAGGACTCCCCCCCCCCCCCCCTAGTCGGCACGGGGATTCGAACCAGCAACCTTTCGGCCCAACGCTCTTAACCGCTAGGTTACCTGCCGCCTAGAAAGAGTGCAATGGACACTGGAACACTTTGGCTGCTCATATATATTTCTTCCTCTACTTTAACAACGTTTTGGGGAGGTTTTAGCCGCCCGCTAGCTTCATTGTGACCAGGAAGAGTTCTTTAACAGCCGAGAGGTCAGAGTAGCCTACTTAAAAAAGTATAATATTCTGTCTGATAACGGCTTTTTCCCTTACCTTCATGACCTTGTCCACCTTAAGATCCTCGAGTGATGGATACAGCGACATTCTGCGGGAAAAACACAAAGGAAACTGTTATAATGTTGGCATGAGAAGTAATGACCACCATACATAGGAGGGAGAATCTCACCCATAAACTGCTAACCTTTGACGGAAACTGTAGGCTAGCTGAGAATAAGGTGGCGGAAGAGAGGATCAGAGAGGGGGCAAGGCTGTTGGGAGTCTATGGACCACACAGAGCGGTTGGAGAACAGAGCGGTTGGTCTGTCTGTCGATAGACCGTGCACAGCTCTGACATTGTGACAAACAAGGCATGGGGACTCCAGGACCATAAAGCTCTTAATGACATTCCTGGTTTCCCAATTAGGACCTACGTTTTTCACCACTAATCCACCATGATCCATTTCTGCACTTCCACACCCCTTCCTTCCTTCCTTCCTTCATCCATTCATCACTCGTCCTTTCATTATTGTGAGATGAAAAAGACAGAGAAGGAGAGCTAACGGCAACATAAAGATGTGATGTAGGCTGAGGAGTGGGTGGGTGGTCAGAACACCCTATAAAAGACCTAACAAAGAAACAAGTCATAGAAAACCCTTCTAATCCACATAGGCTGGGCTAGTTCTAGAACGAACAATGTCGGCTAGAAAACTGACTGTAGCCTATAGGCTAAGGCTTTATTTGTCACATGCGCCAAATACAACAGGTGTAGACCTTACAGTGAAATGGTTACTTACAAGCCCTTAACCAACAATGCAGTTTTAAGAAAAGTAAGTGTTAAGTAAAAAAAATTGATAAGTAAAAAATAAAAATAAAAAAAGAAATAATTAAAGAGCAGCAGTAAAATAAGATAACAGTAGGGAGGCTATATACAGGGGGTACCGGTACAGAGTCAATGTGCGGGGGCACCGGTTAGTCGAGGTAATTGAGGTACTATGTACATGTAGGTAGAGTTAAAGTGACTATGCATAGATAATAAACAGAGAGTGCCAGCAGTGTAAAGGTGGGGGGGGGGGATGAAAAGAAGACCGCCTGTACATAATAAAAAAAAACATGCATACTGTTTGCAACAAGGCACTAAAGTAATACTGCAACTAATGTGGCAAAGCAATCACCTTTTTGTCCTGAATACAAAGTGTTATGTTTGGGGAAAATCGAATACAACACATTACTGAGTATCACTCTCCATATTTTCAAGCATAGTGGTGGCTGCATCATGTTATGTGTATTCTCAAAATCGTTAAGGACTTGGGAGTTTTTCAGGATAAAAAAGAAATGGAATGGAGCTAAGCACAAGCAAAATCCCAGAGGAAAACCTGGTTCAGTCTGCTTTCCACCAGACACTGGGAGATGAATTCACCTTTCAGCAGGACAATAACCTAAAACACAAGGCCAAATCTACACCGGAGTTGCTTACCAAGAAGACAGTGAATGTTCCTGCTTGGCCGAGTTACTGTTTTGATTTGAAAATCTATGGCAAGACCTGAAAATGGTTGTCTAGCAATGATCAACAACCAATTTGACAGAGCTTGAAGGTTTTTGAAAAGAATAATGGGCAAATGTTGCACAATCCAGGTGTGGAAAGCTCTTAGAGACTTACCCAGAAAGACTCACAGCTGTAATCGCTGCCAAAGGTGCTTCTACAAAGTATTGACTCAGGGGTGTGAATAGTTATGTAAAATAGATATTTATGCACTTTGTCATTATGGGGTATTGTGTGTAGAGAAAAACATATTTAATCAATTTTGAATTCAGGCAGTAACAATAAAATGTGGATAAAATGTGGCATAAGTCAAGGGGTATGTACAGTACTAGGCCTGATAGGCTCTGTGTTTTGGTACTGAGAGTGAAGGCAGACCAGTAGGCCTTCGCTCTCTCAAAGCTGGTAAACAAATACACACAAGTGATCATGGAAAACAAGTACAATCACAGGACTGAGGAGGGTGGAGCAAAACTATTGGATCTAGGCCTAATGGAATAGCAAGAGACAAACAGGATGAGAGTGCAGATTACCTTTTACTGAAAGTGAAAGCAATGAGAAGAGAGAGATGAGAGAGAGACGAGAGAGCAGAGAGAGAGAGAAGAGGAGAGAGAGACAGAGAGAGTGGGGGAATATGGAGAGAGAGAAGATAGAGAGAAATAGGAGAAGAGGAGCTGATAGTAGAGTAGAGCGTGTTGAGAGGAGATGAGGAGTTTTTTTTCCTTAATGATCGGACTCGCGCGCGCCCGCCGCGCCTCGCGCCGCGCTCTCTGCGCCCCCTGCGTCTCGCGCGAACGCCGGGGGCTTTTTTGCATTTTTAGTCTTTCCCGCCGCTCTTCCAGTGCGTACTCTTGTTTGAGTGCATACTTTTTCTATGATACAGAGTTGCATCACTGACAGAGTCCACAGTAATAGTAGATTAGCTTTACCGTAGGGTGCGGCAGGTGAAACTGTCCCAGAGTTTACAGTAGATTACAGTGGGGAAAAAAAGTATTTAGTCAGCCACCAATTTTTGCAAGTTCTCCCTCCCACTTAAAAGATGAGAGAGCCTGTAATTTCCATCATAGTACAACGTCAACTATGACAGACAAAATGAGAAAAGAATCCAAGAAAATCACATTGTAGGATTTTTTTATGAATTTATTTTGCAAATTAATGGGAAAATAAGTATTTGGTCAATAACAAAGTTTCTCAATGTTGGCAATGACACAGGTCAAACGTTTTCTGTAAGTCTTCAACAAGGTTTTCACACACTGTTGCTGGTATTTTGGCCCATTCCTCCATGCAGATCTCCTCTAGAGCAATGATGTTTTGGGGCTGTCGCTGGGCAACACAGACTTTCAACTCCCTCCAAAGATTTTCTATGGGGTTGAGATCTGGAGACTGGCTAGGCCACTCCAGGACCTTGAAATGCTTCTTACGAAGCCACTCCTTCGTTGCCCGGGCGGTGTGTTTGGGATCATTGTCATGCTGAAAGACCCAGCCACGTTTCATCTTCAATGCTCTTGCTGATGGAAGGAGGTTTTCACTCAAAATCTCACGATACATGGCCCCATTCATTCTTTCCTTTACACGGATCAGTCGTCCTGGTCCCTTTGCAGAAAAACAGCCCCAAAGCATGATGTTTCCACCCCCATGCTTCACAGTAGGTATGGTGTTCTTTGGATGCAACTCAGCATTCTTTGTCCTCCAAACACGACGAGTTGAGTTTTTACCAAAAAGTTATATTTTGGTTTCATCTGACCATATGACATTCTCCCAATCCTCTTCTGGATCATCCAAATGCACTCTAGCAAACTTCAGACGGGCCTGGACATGTACTGGCTTAAGCAGGGGGACACGTCTGGCACTGCAGGATTTGCGTCCCTGGCGGCGTAATGTGTTACTGATGGTAGGCTTTGTTACATTGGTCCCAGCTCTCTGCAGGTCATTCACTAGGTCCCCCCGTGTGGTTCTGGGATTTTTGCTCACCATTCTTGTGATCATTTTGACCCCACGGGGTGGGATCTTGCGTGGAGCCCCAGATCGAGGGAGATTATCAGTGGTCTTGTATGTCTTCCATTTCCTAATAATTGCTCCCACAGTTTATTTATTCAAACCAAGCTGCTTACCTATTGCAGATTCAGTCTTCCCAGCCTGGTGCAGGTCTACAATTTTGTTTCTGGTGTCCTTTGACAGCTCTTTGGTCTTGGCCATAGTGGAGTTTGGAGTGTGACTGTTTGAGGTTGTGGACAGGTGTCTTTTATACTGATAACAAGTTCAAACAGGTGCCATTAATACAGGTAACGAGTGGAGGACAGAGGAGCCTCTTAAAGAAGAAGTTACAGGTCTGTGAGAGCCAGAAATCTTGCTTGTTTGTAGGTGACCAAATACTTATTTTCCACCATAATTTGCAAATAAATTCATAAAAAATCCTACAATGTGATTTTCTGGATTTTTTTCCCTCAATTTGTCTGTCATAGTTGACGTGTACCTATGATGAAAATTACAGGCCTCTCTCATCTTTTTAAGTGGGAGAACTTGCACAATTGGTGGCTGACTAAATACTTTTTTTCCTCACTGTACCTACCATGCCCAAGAGTATGAGCCCAGTCACTTATGAATGACTTATCATCATGCAACAACTCAAACAAGCCTTTAAGGACAAGGGCTTTTGCTATTGTGCTTTTCTGATCAAGGTGTTTGTGTTGGCCTATGCATACATTGGTTAAGATGTCACCTGAGCCATACGGGTCATTCCAGGAAGAAGAGAAGACATGAACTGTTCTGGTCACATTTCCGGTGCGAGATCAGAATCACTGTCAATGATAGGTTTATAATTTGGTGTCTCCAGTGTGTTCTTGAGAATGGTGTTGAGAAGGAAAAGTCCAAGAGATTTTCAAGTTCATGTCAAATGCTGTTCCTTTTCACTTCTCTATATAATACACTGTGGAATCCCACATTGTGAATAGATCAAAATATCTGCTGTAAGCCATGAACAGGAAACAGGAACTTCGAGGTAGGCAATGATACACTGCTACCATGACGACCACAGTCAGTGTCAATATCCAAGTTCTCTCCCACACACACGACTAAATTAAAAACTACACAACACACAGCTGACTTAGAGAATGAAAAACACTCCTACACATGTATAAACCCTATCCCACAACACTGATGCAAATTATACTTACTCCTACGTGTATAACAACACTGTCAAACCACACATCCTGAATACAACCCAATCCTTGTTCCCCTACAAGAACAACAACATACAAGACAACTGACAACACACAATTGTGAAAAGACATAACCCTACTAACACATTCCTGCTAACAAGTTGACACTACAACAAAGTATGGGGGGTAGAAACAAGCACATAAGGTGAACATTCAGCACAATCGCTGAACCAAGCTAAACATGCCCACCACAATCACATTACTGAGAAGTTTCCCGCTCAGGCCCAGAGTCAGACTACTGTAAACTACGCATCCAATTCACAGACCAGAGAGACACACTCCATTATGTCTCTGAACGCCAAGGCACTTTCCATGTTTCCATTTCAAAGCAATGCATGTACCAGAAAAGGGGAGGGTGTGGGAGGAGGAAGACTATGACAATGATCACAAGGTCCACTACTATAACTAATTAAATGTTTATGTCCAGTGCAGCACTCACCTTCCTCTTTTTCAACCAGTGTATACCAAGTTGTTTAAGATATAGGCCTAACTACCCCATTCAGAATGTTCTTCTGTGCAGTCCTACAGTACTGAATGTAGCTTCATCCCACAACTAGCCATTTAAATTAACATTTATATTAACAATTTTGACTTTTAATTTTACAGATGGCTACCCATTTGTCACATTAAAAGTATTTTTTTTTAAATATAAATGGTCATTTAAAATGGCTATTTGCAGGACGACGCTACACTGAACTATACCATAGACATCAATATTAATTAACCTGTTTCAGTGCTGTCGGAGCTGATCAGTGTCTAGATTGACCTTGGCCACTATATGATTCTAAAACAGAAGGTTGATATTCTCCCAAACATGAACCTATGTTCCATACAGCTAATACTGTATAAGACATTTCACATTTTCCTAAGCCTGATTAACTACAGCTTGGGTTCTCTACAGTACACATCTCTCTAGTGTGACATTTGGAATTCTCCAGAATGTGTCAAGAAATCACATGATGTCATGAGTCAGAGGTTTCAAACATTGAGAGCTGAACCGTTGTAAACAAAGATAGTTAACTTGGTATGTAGCTAGTAAGCTGAATATCTAGTTTGCTAGCTAGTTAACTTTACTTCCCTGGCTAGGCTAACTTTAATAACCTCACTATGACGCCATATGATAAAAGACAATCATATGTACGGCACAGATATTGAGTGTATCTCGCTAGCTAGCTAACGTTGCTAGTTAGCTATATATGCTAGCTAGCTAAACTAGCTATAGGATTGCATCAGCTAACGGTAGTTAGCTAACAACAATAAGTTGTGGTTAAACGATAAGAGATAACTAGGTTAGCTAGCTACCTAGTTAGCTAAATGTCTCAAGACAAGAAGTACTATTTTTTTACTCCCCTAATCTCGGCTAACACATCGCTGGTGAATACTTTACTCACTTATGTTCAATCACCACCTTGCTTCGATAACAGTTAGCTAGCTAGTTTGGTAGCAAGCTACTTGGCTAACCAGACTAAGCTACGCTAGCTAACGGGAGATGTAGTTGGACATATGTAAACTCACCTTAAAAGTTTTGGTTGTGTATATCTCAGAAAAGTCTCTGACTATAGTTAGGATACACTTTTCTTTTTCTGCTTCGTACTTCGGACGACACCACACCACTGCTGTTGAGAAGTGATATTCTGAGTCACCACTAATTTCCTGGTCGATAGAAACCAAGTGAATCACAGTGGTGACATAGCCAATGACCTATCAGCTGCTGTTGCTGTCTCAAGGTATACATAATACATTTAGCTATGATAATGAAGATCACATTTTCAAGATCTTTGCAAGTACTTGAAATTGAGCAATATGAGTTGGTGGTTATGGATAGAATCTGTGAATGTAGTTAGTTCAGCAACTGTTCATGGGTGGAAAATATTAGGCATAATGCTAGTAGTACAGTGGAACAATTTTGCCACTCCTCTACGTCTTGCTATGGGTGATGGCTCATATATATTATAATCTATATGAATATGAATGGTGATTCATAAGGCCTAGCTATTCCAATCCCCAGATACAACTCCGGCTTCTATAGCAAAGCAGACACTAATTTAACACTTTGATACTTAAAGGTGCTACTCCACCTAGAATGTCTCAGAATTTGTCCCCTATGTTGAAGCTAAGTGAATTGCAACAGCACTAGGTAGGCTGCATTATTAAAAACAAATATCCCCTCAGCCGCAACATGGTAGACTCGCGCTTCACGCCTCGATAACACCGGCAGTGGTATACAGAAAATGGTATGCAAAACCTGGATATGTGTGCAACAAAAGTTAAACATCCCCCTTATGCTACCATTTCTGTCAAGCCGTAAAGACATACAATTTGATGCATACGTTCGATAAATCTAACTTCTGCACCACACATAACGACTGCAACGCAATGCTGCAAGGCAACCCGCAGCGTTCCGCTGGAAATGAATGTACAGTACTTATGTAGTACCAAAATGCATAACACTATCGGTGTGATCTAGACATCAAGCGCGAGTCTCTGCCATGTTGCGGGTGAGATTTGTTTATAATGCAGCCTACCTAATGCTGTGAGCCTTTTAGTTTCGGTTTTGGTCCACCGGTTTCAAACAGCTGTAAAAACAACATTTTTTGCTATTGAAAATATATTTCACAGGGATTTAGATGGTAGAAGGATTCCCTAAACTAATATTCAGTGCTTGTTTTTGAACGAACAGTGTAAAATTTTAGCAACCACCACAATAGCGATTTCCACTAGATAACACAGCCACAAAGTCAAAGCAGCGTTCCCATTTTGACAACTGAGGCTGCTCCGGCGGGAGAAATCGATAGGCGAATATATCACAGCCAATCACAACAATGGCGGGTAAGTAATACTGTGAAACACTATCATTCTACTATTACTGCAGATATATTATGGACATTTTCTGAAATTACAACGCAAAAATTATATTTTAAAAATCCTCCTTTAATATCCCCCACCCTCATTAATGCCAGATATTCCAGTAATTGACCTGATCAGGATAAATCCGATTTCTCATGTAACCCATGTCAATGCAACACAGTATAGTCTACCATCATTTCCAAAAAAAAATCTGAATCCCAGATACCCAAACCCTCTGCCCCACCACTGAGAAAAATACAGACAGCTACAATGCTACAATGAAGAAAAAACAAGACCATTTCCCCCAAAGCAGGTAGAGAGCACTTTATTGCAACTGCACATTTTTTTGTATTGGTTGTGCCTGCCTATGTAACGCACCACACACGTAGACAGTACATAGAACTGTATTTGTGTCATGCGCCTAGACAGCTGTAACATCAAGAGCAATGATGGCACAGCATCTGAAAAATCTTCTATCTGCATTAGATTTAACTCTATTTCAACAGACTTTAAATGTGATACAAAACGTGGACGGCTCTGTCACCTGACTACCACAACACAGCATTTTTTATTTAGGCAATGTGGTCAGTCTAATGACACTGACAAAATATTTACTGTTACATTATAGGTACAGTATAAGTCATTCTTAGTTATCAAATCAAATTGTATTGGTCGCATACACATATTAAGAAAGTTGGCATCTGAAAAATATATAATGTCAAGTTGTGAGACAAAATACATTTTTGGGGAGGTCACAATTGAATCGATTCCTCAACCCCATTTCAAAATGTCAGGCATTTCACTTCTAAAGCATCAACACTACTCCAATTAATGTGCGTATACTATACGGTTCTCATCTTTGCACTGTTAATAACATGTTTATGGCTTTCAACAGGGTTAAATATTTGACTTGGAAAGAAACATAAGGGGGAAAAAAGTTATTCAAAGGCAAAGCTTTAACAGGTATAGATCATGATATCATTGGTATGACATGCAGAACGGGCTAGGTGGTGGTCGTGTGTCTGGTAATGAGAGACACACAATATGATACAACAATAACATTCTGTACTACTTCTTCTGTGCAGAATGCACACTAGCTCCTAATAAAGTTAACAATCAAAATGAAAGAAAATACATCACTATCTAGTCTGGGTAAATAACATATCAAACAAAGTTCCTGTTTTATACCTTTAAGACATCCCATGACTCAATATTTCACGACACTTATGCCTCTCAACATTACACTAAGCCCTACATCTCTATCTACTTTCAGCTGGGAGAGGTGTGGATGCAAACATGTGCTTTTCATATACTCTTAGTTTTGTTCCTCAGGTAGAATACACGTCAATAATATAATAATAATAATAATAATAATAAGCATGTTACTGACAGGTCCTCCCGAAAAGAGACGAATGACGCTGCTAATATTTCATTGGTATAAACAATTCGAGATAAAAAGAACATCAAGGTTTGTAAGGTTTAAGGTTTTTAAAGAAAGAAGAATGTGAAGAAAAACAAAATAACTGAGTCACTGATAAAAACGCAGATTTTTGTATAAATTGATAAAAGAGTGACCAAAGTGTTGTAACTATAGACTCAGGCCTCTTATAGAATCAAGGTACAGACTCTCCTAGCTTATCTACATGTTTCCAAGGTAGGAAGCAACCTGCAAAGACACATAGGAGGAAGAGGAGAAAGGGATTAGATTGAAAGCATACCAGACTTGTTGATGCATTCGTGCTATTATTTCATCTGCTGATAATAACAAAACACTTTGAAAATCTTCAAAACGTACTTACGAAACAAATATAAAACACAGGCAGTGGGGATACTTCATTCAAGGCTCAGTAGCTCAACATCAAAGATGAGGGTGGCGTTTGGTGGAATGATCCCCGGGTGGCCCTTTGCCCCATATGCAACGTCAGGCGAGCAGGTCAGCTTGGCTCTCTGACCGACACTCATCTGCAAGGAAGTGGGGGGACATAGGTCAGGCACAGCCACACTGAGATAAACTATGGAGGAACCTCTGTGGTTGATTTTTGAGAGAAGCATTCATTTTGTGATACTGTTGACCACTTTTTTTGTTCAACTTGTATTCATTTATTCATCACTTTTTGGTTGGACTTAAGCAGCAATTGACCCCAGACCAGATGCTGAGTATTTGAATAGAAACAGAGGAGTGTGTGTTGGGAGCTGTTTGTCATGCTGTAAGTGTGGGGACACTGATAAAAAATCCTGAGGGCTCTTGTGGAGAACTGCCATTGGATGGGAGAATGCCTAGCCCACACAACAAATACTATTACGGGCACGTCTCTTCACTGCATCTGTCGCCCTTTATAAGAATATGATGTAATCAACCTCCTGGCAAAAGCCCATCGAACTGCTTTGAAGTACTGATAGAAGAATTTGGTAATGACTAATTATTACACCACTTTATGAACTGTGTTAGAATCCTGAGACTATAGTCTAATAATGTGTGTGTGTGTGTGTGTGTGTGTAGGACCAGTAAAGATTATGACATTGTGTTACTATTTAGCAATGTGAGTAAGAGTTAGGCCAAACAACAAAGGACAAGGATAACTGTCTACAGACAACTGAGAAACCAAGATAAAGAAATAGGGTGGAGAGAAAGCGTTAGGCTTGGAAGAGAGTATGAAACATGTTGCAGGATATTTTGAGGACGGCAATAACTGAAGAATGCAGCCTGCCCGAGCAAGGAGTCGACTATGATAAGAACGTGTGTGTGTGTGTGTGTGTGTGTGTATGTGTGTGTGTGTGTGTGTGTGTGTGTGTGTGTGTGTGTGTATATGTGTATGTGTGTGTGTGTGTATATGTGTGTATATGTGTGTGTGTGTGTGTGTGTGTATGTGTGTGTGTGTGTGTGTGTGTGGGTGTATATGTGTGTGTGTGTGTGTGTGAGACCTGATGGTCAGGAGAGCAGAGGAAAACATGAGCTAAACCCATGTACAGTGGAAAAATACAGCCCGCCTAAAGCGGGGTGGGATTTTTGTATGACGTGTGTGTATAAAAGATGGACTCTGAAATTGTGATAACAGAATTCTCTGGGCAGAATTCTCTGAATAAAGACCTGGCTATTGCACTGAGGCTCTGTCCGTTTCTTGAACCAAAGTCTTACAAACTTTGGGAAACACACAGAGACACTGAAATTGTTAGTTAATAAATTCTCTTAACAAGTACACAATGCCTCAGTCTCTTTTTCCTGTTGCACACAGCTCCCTTTTAAATCTGCTGCAGCTACACATCACAGGGCTGTACAACTAGGCACACCAGACTGTGTGCACTGCCCTTACAACTCATGTAAAGGTTTAAGAATGCGTATGCAAATACTTCAAACAGTGTTTTATAGCCCACACAAAGCATGTTATACGTTCAGGTAACACTATGTATGAAGACCATTATCTTTCCTACTGATAGAGAAGGTCTGGCTGTACCTGGAACCGTTAAATTCATCAAGCATTTTAAATGTATTTGCTCTGGATAATCTTGGATCGAGGGTTCATTCATGCACAGAAAATAAATACACCGATGGGACATTCTGTGTTATGTCAAAATGGCAACCTCTCCGTTACAAGGACGTGGTAATTTCAACGTAAAACCCTTCTCCTGTACTTCCTAGAAGTAGAGGCAGACAGACACCAGAGACGTCTGCACAGTACACCCACCTGCACCACTCCCTCTTCCCAGCCACGGATCACTTCCTGTTTTCCTATTTTAAACCTGAAGGGCTTGTTCCTGTCACGGGAGGAGTCAAACTTGCGTCCATCTGTCAGGGAGCCTGAGGAGGAAGGAGAAAGAAATGAGAGCAGAGCGAGAGGATTTAATTTGACAATCTGTAACAGAGATGGTGGCATGTTTATTACGTTTCAAGGCAATCCTTTCCGAACTGTACTGGGGGGTGCAATTCCTGTACTAAAACCCAAACTAACTTGACTTCCAGGCAGACAGACGAACACTAAAGATGAAAAACGTACATCCTGTGGCTCTTGTAGGTCTACTTCCATATCTATTGTTATGCAACACACAAGGGACAAAACCGACAGTTAATGAAGCATACCCATGACTGTGCATTAACAATATATCTTCTGAGCTAGTGTAAAACTATCTCCCAGAATGCAAATGAAGGGATTCCACGGAAAGCAGAAATAGCCCCTGCAGCTGTCTCTGTAGTGGGAAGCAAAGTGACAGGACAATGTGGCCATAACTGGGCGTCTGCACTCGGCAATCCAGCCCGAGGAGGCGTTCATTATGTACTGTTATTACCGCCAATCAGGCCAGGAGGGGGCTATTCTCTGGCGTGCGGTGCACTGCTGTTGGGCACATCAGGGGGCAAGATATAGAAAGTAATCCCAGACGTGGCATGGTTGGGTGGTGCTCTCGCTTGCTCTCTCGCTCATGCAATTTAACATGCAAAAACATTTTCAGTTGTATTTCTTTGACATTAAACGTTATCATTGTTGAAAGTTGCAAAAATGTCCCGTCATGGAGCAGATTGTGCAAATAGGAGACGGACTTATCATTACATGAGGGCAGTGGCGTGTATTCATTGATGCCAAGGGAAGCCAGGCTTCCCCAAAATATTTGACCAATAAAAAAAGAAAATGTACAGTGCCAGTCAAAAGTTTGAACACACCTACTCATTCCAGGGTTCTTCTTTATTTTTACTATTTTCTACATTGTAGAATAATAGTGAAGACATCAAAACTATGAAAAAACACATATGGAATCATGTAGTAACCAAAAAAAGTGTTAAACAAATCAAAATATATTTTATATTTGAGATTCCTCAAAGTAGCCACCCTTTGCCTTGATGACAGCTTTGTACACTCTTGGCATTCTCTCAACCAGCTTCATGAGGTACTCACCTGGAATGCATTTAAATTAACAGGTGTGCCTTCTTAAAGGTTAATTTGTGGAATTTCTTTCCTTCTTAATGCGTTTGAGCCAATCAGTTGTGTTGTGACAAGGTAGGGGGGTATACAGAAGATAGCCCTATTTGGTAAAATACCAAGTCCATATTATGGCAAGAACAGCTCAAATAAGCAAAGAGAAACGACAGTCCATCATTGCTTTAAGACATGAAGGTCAGTCAATATGGAACATTTCAATAACTTTTAACGTTTCTTCAAGTGCAGTCGCAAAAACCATCAAGCACTCGGATGAAACTGGCTCTAATGAGGACCACCACAGGAAAGGAAGACCCAGAGTTACCTCTGCGGCAGAGGAAAAGTTCATTAGAGTTACCAGCCTTAGAAATTGCAGCCCAAATAACTGCTTCACAGAGTTCAAGTAACAGACACATCACAACATCAACTGTTCAGAGGAGACTGTGTGAATCAGGCCTTCATGGTCGAATTGCTGCAAAGAAACCAGTACTAAAGGACACCAATAATAAGAAGAGACTTGCTTGGGCCAAGAAACACGAGCAATGGACATTAGACCGGTGGAAATCTGTCCTTTGGTCTGATAAGTCCAAATTTGAGATTTTTTGTTCCAACAACCGTGTCATTGTGAGACGCAGAGTAGATGAAAGGATGATCTCCGCATTTGTGGTTCCCACCGTGAAGCATGGAGGAGGAGGTGTGATGGTGCTTTGCTGATGTCTGTGATTTATTTAGAATTCAAGGCACACTTAACCAGCATGGCTACCACAGCATTATGCAGCGATTTGCCATCCCATCTGGTTTGCGCTTAGTGAGACTATCATTTGTTTTTCAACAGGATAATGACCCAACACACCTCCAGGCTGTGTAAGGGCTATTTGACCAAGAAGGAGAGTGATGGAGTGCTGCATCAGATGACCTGGCCTCCACAATCACCTGACCAGTTGAAGCTGGTTGAGAGAATGCCAAGAGTGTGCAAAGCTGTCATCAAGGCAAAGGATGGCTACTTTTGAAGAATCTAAAATATATTTTGATTTGTTTAACACTTTTTTGGTTACTACATGATTCCATATGTGTTATTTCATAGTTTTGATTTCACTATTATTCTACAATGTAGAAAATTGTAAAAAATAAAGAAAAACCCTTGAATGAGTAGGTGTGACTGGTACTGTATAAAATAATTGATCTTTCATCTCTCTGTGTTTCCATAATTTCCCTTAAATTCGCAAGTGGCTGAATCTCACCGGAGAAATCATCCGAGCGAGGGAAACAGCGCCCCTCTGTCTCAGTATGTGTAGCCCATGTATCTGATGCTGTCTGGACCAAAAGAGTATGACATGTTGCCGGCGTAGCATTTGATTGATTGATTGATGCCAGCAAGCATTTGGCCTCCCTTAATAAATAAAAAAGCTGAGCTTAACTGTGGGTTGTCCTGGCGCAGCAAAATGTCCCCCAATGGGAGGCCAGTTTGAATTTGGCTTCACACCAATCAAATCGCATCCAAAGCAAAACTTCATTGTCAGACAAACGTGTCTCTTTCTGGTCTGCTTGTGTTGTTGTCCTGCAGTAGCTAGCTTGCTACATCTGCTCTTTCGTAAATCATGGATGGTGATGGGGATTTGGACCCAGGCCAATGATTATGATGGTGAATCTGATCTAACCATAAATTCATATATTGAGCCGCTGGCCTGAGACAATTAAAATTCAATATGTAGCCTAGTAGGCTCACGTTAACTAGCTAGCTAACTTAGCTGGTTCATTATTTCCCATGCGAGGCAGTCAGGCTAGCAAGCGTTTTAGCTAGGTAGCCTATGAAAACTAAAACTAAAAGCGTACTGTATGACAGAGCCATAGACTGTTTTGCCAACATCAAAGAGTGGAGGATGGCATTGGCATTCAACTAGTCTACAACTATGGTGAGTCAACTTTTTTTTTTTTACTTGCACGCACACACACCCACACATAAATCTGTACCATGGACAGTCACATGATATTTAGCAACATTGATTGGACTCAATTGTTTTTGGTATCTTTAAGTTCGTTTTCATTGTATTATAGCCTAGTTGATTTAATGATGTTTAAGTTGAAATGGTGCTGGAATAGCGGTGGCAGGGCTCCTGTTGTCTTTGAGCAGACTTGCGGTAACTCAGTGGTTTTAAATCAGTAGTTGTTCAGTAAACTGTAGAAAACATTAACTCGATGGACCATGCTGTAGGTCATTTAACTGTTTGTTACATGCAATATTTGCTTTGTGGACACCGGACAGATGTTGCTCTCTGGTTTTATGATGAAACAAGTGTATGTGTAGTTGAATTTATTCCGCCACTGTGTGACTGTTGTCTTTCTGTTGTCTCGGCCTTATTGTATATCAGGGTGGTGTATAAAGGAATGGGTTATAGAGCAAACAATGCAATTATCACAACATAGGTTGTAATATGGCTTTTTTTACTGACTTGGCTTCCCCAGTGATTTAACCCAGGCACCCGCTACTGCATGAGGGTACAGTTCACACATGAATAACAGGAATATAGAATTTCAGACAGGATGGAAAATCAAAGTGGAGAAAAAACTATTGTTGCTATAGCAAACATGTAGAATCTTTCCAGTGGCATAAATGTTTTGTGTATGCATGAATCTGAGTATAATACAAGTTACATGATAATCCAATAACGGTGTTAGGGCTACACTAGCAGCTCTCCTACAACAAGAGAGCTGACAATTGAATAGTCTCAATCGTATGAGAACACGGAGAAAGGCAATGCCAATGTAATTGAAAAATACACCAACCCCCTGCACCTATTACAATAATACACTAACTCATTAGTAAACAATTAAAACGAAACGAGAAATCATTAGACACCAGACAGCAATACTCAGTTATATCCAACGTCACCAATCCCCTCAACTTCAACAAAGGCAGGGTATCAGACAGGGTTTAAATCCCTCGCTGTCTTGTCCATCTGTCTCGACCTCGGATTGAACCCTGCCTCTGCCGACGTCTGAACGCTTTCAAGACAGACACATTGATGTTATATTACCATACTATAATCATCTATGAAGTGACCCGCGGCAACATTGTAACAAAGTAGTCTTGACTTCGCACCTGACTTTACAACGTTAACAATGTAGTTATAACTGCATTCCAATACTAAGAAGCAGCCTCCCTTGTACAGAAAGCTGTAACGCAACACATTGTTGGGTGGTCAGAGCTACAGGTGTGCAATTGCATCCGAATGAAATTCCCCTGAATTAAAATATAGCTATTGAGACAAAAATGCACCCAATCGCCAAGGTTACTGACACTAATATGCGGCCTATCAAAAATATGAATTAATCTTGAGATTTGGGGGGAATTTGCATTGGTGCATGCATACATACAGACACTGTAAATTAATCTCCCAAACTCACCAACATAATGCACCACACACGTCTGTCCTTTTTTAGGGAAGGTCCTTCCTGTGGGAGAAAAAGCGCATAGAAAAACAGAATAACGCGGGCATCAAAAGACGATGTGACGCTAAAACAGGATAACGGCATGAGCAAACGATGAGAAGCTGCATTTTTGTATGGACATTAAAATGAATGAACGGAAATCCATCAGAAATCTTGAGCGAAAGATATGCATGAAAATATTTTACCATCGCCCGGGGTTATTGTCTCAATTTCTACTCCCATTTTGTTCGTTAATATCCCTCCACCCTACCAAGAGACTATCTTCCTGCAATCTGCTATTTCAACGACTGTAGTCATCTGTCTCCGTGCAGCCGGCGTCTACCACGTGATGTGAATGTAGCGGTTACGCCGAAAAAAGTGGGAGTGTTCGTCACATTTTCAGCAAGCTTTTTTTAATTCTGTTCATAAATAGTAACAATGTAATAACAATGTACGCACCATTAAACGATCTCGAGGTGTTTTTTCTTTGCTCTGTTGGATGTAAGATTTACCTTCCCCATTTATTTATTTTAAAATAACTGATCTGTAATGCAGCATCAGCATCCCACCCAGACTAGAGTAGAACCTAGGCCTACTGTATACTAGGTTAAAATACTTCTAATAAAATGTTGAACTTGATCCCTTTGAATATAAATGGTTTATGGTTTATGGTTTATTACAAGCATGCAAATATCTTACTCTCAGGCCTTTACATCTGGTGAACAGTACTGGACACCAGTGGCTCCCAACCAGGGGTACTAGGACCCCTTGGGGGTACTTGGCCTATTCACAGGGGAGTACTTGAGAAGACTCATGAGACCCATAGGCTTACTGGTCAAACGCACATGAGGGGGTACTTCAGGGGTACTCCAGGCAGAGCAAAATTCAGTTGGTGGTACAGTAACCGAAAAAGGTTGGGAACCACTGCATACACAACAGTGATTACAATAATAATAATAATAACATGCCATTTAGCAGATGCTTTTATCCAAAGCGACTTACAGTCATGCGTGCATACATTTTTTTTTTGTGTATGGGTGGTCCCGGGGATCGAACCCACTACCTTGGCGTTACAAGCGCCGTGCTCTACCAGCTGAGCTACAGAGGACCACGATGGTTGGATAAGAAAACACACACATGCAAAGATTCATTATATAGGCTGAGTCAAGTGTCTGTGTTTCGGCCTGTGAGCATGACAGTCATCTTCCATGGCATACATCATCTTCCATGGCATACACACATGCGAGCTGCTGTGAATCACAGTAACTCAATAGGCAGCAGTTTCCTAGCATGGTGCCAGATGAGGTGTGAACAGTCATGCACCATGTCAGACAAAGACACTGACTGATGGAAGCTTCCAGTTAGTCAGGCTGGCTGTGTATGAGAGGAGCCTCCAATCACAGTGCGTCCATTACTTGGCATCCATCCACTTTCCTGTAAAGACCAATATGACTTTGTAAGTGAAACAATGTAATAGAATTATCAGGAAAGCACACCCTCAAGTAGTCAAAATATGCTAACATCAATCTTAATAAAAAAAAAAAAAAGTAAATATATTATGATATCATTCTAGCACATTTTTATGAATCAGACCGCACGCGGGCTGTGTGGGTAGCATGTTAGCAAGTAAGCATGTCACAGTACCATGCGCACTTGACCAATAAACTCTAATTTGATTCGTGAGAAAAACAAATGTAGACAGCCACAGTTATCTACCACTAGGTGTCAGTCTAGCATACAATTAGATCAACCGAAGTTAATCCAAGTCATGTAGATCCACTGTAGAGTATTTGGACTATCAAACTGGATGGAAACTCACTCTGCTTCCTGCAGTTCCCTGTGGATCTGCCGGCGCCTCTCCTCGTTGATGGGGTAGAAATAAAAGAGCACCAAACCAACGAGGAGGAGGACGATGGGCACAGGGGCGAACAGGGCCCGCAACGCTGTGATCACAGCTGGGTTTTGCCTGCAGGCCCCAGGCTTATACCCTGCAAAGCTAAGGGTGGGACAGGAGGGTTACACTCAGTAGACAAGCAGTTACAGAAGGAAACTCCTCTGAAAGTGCTTCCGCACTACAGCTAGAGATGGTTATACTGTATGCAGTATGAAAAACATAAGATGTGACAAAGCTCTAAACAGCACCCAATGAAGAGTAATGTTGATGTAAATAAATCCATACATGATTCAATTTATATTTGTATCAATACTTAGATTCTAGTCTCCAATCCCTTGCAGGTGGAACTCACTGTAATGCCAGAGTGGAGATGCCCACAGACATCCCCCCTCCAAACTTGTTGAAGAAAACATAGCAGGAGTAAAACATGGGCTCCAGGTCTGTACTGGTGGGATTCTTCACCTTGAAGTCATCAACTACATCCGGCAGCATAGACCTGCACACAGACAAGATGACAAGGTACTGTGTGAGAATGCGTTGTAGAATATTTCACTAAATAAATATCACATTTACTACTGTCCACTTCCTCTTCCATCCTTTATTAGATTAGTTCATAGTTGTAGTAAACACTGAGATGTATCTCAGCTCAGAGAGCATTGCAGACCATTTCCTAACTTTCCTCATGACTCATTAAGTCTTTTGGGAGGACTGCTTGGGGCGGTCTCCAATAGCTGTGGAAAAAGAAGAATCTCAGTGTGTGTGGGAGGGAAGCCCCAGTCCAGTGTGTGTGTGTGGGAGGGAAGCCCCAGTCCAGTGTGTGTGAGTGGGAGGGAAGCCCCAGTCCAGTGTGTGTGTGTGGGAGGGAAGCCCCAGTCCAGTGTGTGTGTGTGTGTGTGGGGGGGGGAAGCCCCAGTCCAGTGTGTGTGTGTGTGTGTGTGGGGGGGAAGCCCCAGTCCAGTGGTGTGTGTGTGGGGGGGTGGGGGGAAGCCCCAGTCCAGTGTGTGTGGTGGGGAGGGGAAGCCCCAGTCCATGTGTTGTGTGGGGGGGGGGGGGGGAGCCCCAGTCCAGTGTTTGTGTGTGGGAGGGAAGCCCCAGTCCAGTGTGTTTGGGAGGAAGGGAAGCCCCAGTCCAGTTACCAGGGAGAGCAGGGCCATTATGATGGGATATACTGACCAAACTGTTTATGTAGTGGCTTTCAAGATAGAGAACTCTGGAGCAGTGTTTCCCCAACTCGGTCCTCGGGACCCCAAGGGGTGCACGTTTAGGTTTTTGCCCTAACACTATACAGCTGATTCAAATTAACATAGCTTGATGATTAGTTGATTATTTGAATCAGCTGTGTAGTGCTAGGGCAAAAACCAAAACGTGCACCCCTTGGGGACCCGAGAACTGAGGTGGGAAACCCTGCTCTAGAAGTTGTCTATCATCGTGATGAACTCAAGAGGTCAGAACATAGTTCAGAGGACAAATGCAAGTTGTGGCTCCTTAATGAGATAGAGAAAGTTAAAACAGTATCATGCATATTCATATAACATTGTATTATTATGGGTGAAATAAAGGCATACAAGTTATGAACGCAACAGAAACTGTAACGATCTCAGTACGACAGACGCTGGGAGACAGGAAGCAAGTACAGGCTGATGATATAATAAATAAAAGACATGGAACAAAACACGGACAGCGTCTGGACCGTGGAAACGAAACAACATCAATGCAGACACGGGGATCAAACTGGGAAACGGACAGATATAGAAGGGCCAATCAACAAAGTGAAGGAGTCCAGGTGAGTCCAATGAGCACTGATGTGCATAATGATGGTCTGAGCATATCAATGTGTTCTAATGGGCCATTGAACATGTAATGGTACTGTATCTCTACAGCTTGTTAATACTATCATTTTAGTCATCACTTTTATCGTGTTTTGACCTTCAGTGCATTCGGAAAGTATTCAGACCCCTTGACAAGCTTGTAGTGTCATACCCAAGAAGACTTGAGGCTGTAATCGCTGCCAAAGGTGCTTCGACAAAGTACTGAGTAAAGGGTCTGAATACTTATGTTAATGTGATATTTCAGGGGGGGTTTTTAAATATAAATTTGCTACATTTCTAAAAAACGGTTTTTGGTTTGTCATTATGGGGTATTGTGTGTAGACTGATGAGGGAAAAATGGTTATAATCCATTTTAGAATAAGGCTGTAACGTAACAAAATGTGGAAAAAGTTAAGGGGTCTGAATAATTTCGGAATGCACTGTGTATATATATATATATATATATATATATATATATATATCATCACACACACACACACACTCACCAGGGCAGCAGGTAGAGTGCCGATAGACTGGACCCAGATATGATGGACATAATGATGAAGACAGGCAGGTTGCTGCGTATGGACGCAATGATCACAAGGGCAGGTACATACATCTGAAAAAGGAGGAACAGACGGAGTGATAAAGGAAAGGTTAAAATGTAAAGGATCAATAATGAGCGATAGCGGGTGTAACATATGCATAACCATGTCCTTATAAAACTGAACTTACAGAGAGTCCTATGTAGAGCGTGGTCTTCTTCCCCAGTCTCAAAAGCAGTGTCTGCCATATGGGGATGGACAATGTGGCAGCTGTCTAGACAAGGATAGACACAAAAAGACACTCTTGTTACCTAAACCAATGCATGACCCTACTCTGAATGAGTGTCAATGTGGTTACTTTACTCACTAGCAGGATAAGGACGAGGTGTTGGAAGTAGGCCCCCAGACCTGCAGCATGGGTACAGAAGAGGGCAAAGTTTCCTTGAGCCATCTGAGCAATGTTGCCGTGACAGGAAAGAAAGAGAATAACTTAAGTCATCATCATCATCAACACGATAATCATTATCGTCATCAACACGATAATCATTATCGTCATCAACACGATAATCATTATCGTCATCAACACGATAATCATTATCGTCATCAACACGATAATCATTATCGTCATCAACACGATAATCATTATCATCATCATACACACAAAACACACAACCCAGAACCTGGGGCGACCCTCACCTGGAAGGCAAGCGAGGCAAAGAGAAACCCGAATACAAGTTTCACGTAGGGGGTGTGTCCCACCACCATCTTCATACCTTCCAGGTAGGGCATGCGGATCCGTCCCAGGGTACTGAGAGGAGCTGGGGGGGACAGTGAAACAAATCATCACTAAACAGCCTGATGTCTCTCATACCCCAGTCCAATTTTAATTATTCTAAATTCGACAGAGCCCCTAAGAAACCTCATACTCACCCAACTGCTCCTTCACACCCAGGAAGAGCACAACACAGCACAGGAAATAGAGTCCCCCCAAAACTAAAGCAGCAAGCACATAAGCTCTCCTCTGAAGCCAAGACAGAAAATCACAAATTCATGTCAATCAGCATCTATTAAGATACACAGCAACAAGCTCAGGGGGAAAACATCAAAAGATACTTATCAGTTCAGACAACATTATACTTCTTGTAATGACCAAAAATAGGGAAGTATATTTAACTGCAATGCTATTGCTGAATTTCTACAGTGCATGCAAAGACTAGTTGACAAGTTCTCTTTCACACTTCAGACATATTGCGGCAAGGAAGTGATGAAAAGTTGTCTTCTCTGCTACAGAGGAGTGTGACAGTGGGTATTGAAAGAGAGAGAGGAAGACTGTTGGGGTTATGGATATGATGGACCAAACCGTGTTCTGAAGGGTATCAGTGAGGGGCGAGGAGAAGTTCTGGATTAGGGGTGAGGAGAAGTTATGGAGGAAGGCCTCGCTGTAGTTCAGCTGGCTGCAGACTTGTGCACTCTTAGCATGGTACACCCCCACAATCTGACCCTGAATGGTTGCACCGGCCAGTGTTGCAAACACCTCCATCCCCATTCCTGAGTGAAGAGAAGAATTTAAGAGGATGGAGACATATACAATGAAAACATTGACATGGAGCAGTGTTTCCCAACCTGGGGTACCGGGAACCCTGGGGGTACTTGGCCTATCCACATGGGGTACCTGAGAAGACTCATGAGACCATAGGCTTACTGGTCAAATGCACATGAGGGGGTACTTCAAGGGTACTTTGGGCAGAGCAAAATTCAATTGGTGATACAGTAAGCGAAAAAGGGCGGGAACCACTGACATGTAGAACAGTGAAAAATAAACATATTTTACCTCAGGTGTTTTTGGGGGTTAAAACCAAAGATGACTCATGCAGTAATACGTTATTTAAAAGGGCAACTCTACCACCTTTTAACCTATTTTTCATTATCTCCAGCACAATATCAGTGTCAACATATGTGAAAACCGTACATTTCTACGTTTTGTAGAAAAACTATATAAAACTTAGCCGCAATGCTGAGGCGGCATTTGGCACGCACTACACCTGCCAATTAAACTATTGATGGTTGCTAGGCAGCGCCAGATAATCATCCTACTGCCAGTTCCAAACTTTGCTAGGCATGTCACTTTTACCATCTCTTCGTACAGTCAACCACTAAGCATGCACTGTTTTCTTAACCACAACTGGATGGAGCCATAAATAATTACCGTGGGAATAAATATCATTGAATGATTAAAGTAGGCTAAAGCAATTGAAGGCATCTATCAAAATGTTGTTTACTGAAACTCCCAAAGTCATCCAATCGTTGTAATAGTCTACCCGCGTGTGGTCAAGATCATTTCAGCATCGTTTACTTTGAGACAATGCCGTGGGGTCTCATCTTGATAAATCAATCAATGTTTTCACTGAATCTCCGTTAGGATATTGGTTAGGCTACAATTAGGCTGTGGAAATGTTATTTAAGTTCAGGTGAAGCTGCTCATGATCATCTTGTCTAGTTGGCTCATTTATTAGAACATTTTGCCTGCATGTTGTGTAGTTTAACAAGTGGATTATTTCACATTCCCTTAGTAGACTAGGCCTACTCCTGACCAAAAGCCAGCGACTTCACTGACTTGTCTCAATCATCAATGTGATTTTGTTTCACTAGATCTCCATCTGTATAGAGGCTTTGGTTTATTGGTTTCTGGCTGGGGAAATAAGTGGAGGTGGTATAGCTCATCTATCACTGATCCGAAACCTTTAGCATGCAATAATGCAGCCTAAAATCACGTGTAGGCATATTATTTTGCTCGATTACGTATAGGCAACTCTAAAAGCAGGTGGAGGTTGTGAAATATGAACGCTAGAATCGCATGATTTTCAAAATAGGATTGCTATTATTTTCTATCGGGATCATGATAGCTCCCTAACAAAGTGGAGTGAGGGTAGGAAAGAGAGGAAACGTGGATCAAGAAAGCATGGGTTTGGGCTGTTTCAAAAGATCACTTTTTTATATGACACGTTCCCGTGACACAAGTGGGAAAAATATTATTTCTATTTTATTATGTTATATTCCACTATATTCTTACTACAAAATATACTGTATGTGTGTTGACTGTGATCGGGGTAGGTGTGTCTTGTCTGTGTAATGAACAAAATAGTGAACTATTGATTTCATTCATTTGGATGTAACATAATTAAACTCAAAATCTGCCATTCAATAGTTTAGAAAATACATTTTATTTGTTTTATAATGTTTCTTAGTACCTGCCTAAACAAATTAATAATGGATGTTTTTGATGGTGTATATTCAATGGATTTTTTCAAATAGACGCCCACCACTAGGTCTACGCATGCCAACGGAGGTATAAAAAGGCTAATGTATAAAGGGCTTCACGCTGCTTGCTTAGCGAGCGCCACTTCCTCCCGATTCATTTACATTTACATTTTTACATTTTAGTCATTTAGCAGACGCTCTTATCCAGAGCGACTTACAGGAGCAATTAGGGTTAAGTGCCTTGCTCAAGGGCACATTTACGTCATTTAGCAGACGCTCTTATCCAGAGCGACTTACAAATTGGTGCATTCACCCTATAGCCAGTGGGAAAACCACTTTACACTTTTTTTTTTTGGGGGGGGGGGGTAGAAGGATTACTTTATCCTATCCCAGGTATTCCTTAAAGATTCGGCCCATACCTGGCGCAAACTCGGGACCTCTGCCTCATAAACACACTCGATCGTCCTCCCTCAAGCGTCTTAGCCGATCGTGCCACCTCAAAAGCTAGCTAATGAGGCGACGCAAACAGGACATTTCAGGCTGAGGAGCGAAGTTTCACACATCCCCATGTGTTACATTCACCCCTCAAACTTACTCAACAGCGACCCCAGCGTTGAGCTGAGCGCAACTGTAGATCCGGGTCACGGGACCACTGTAAAGGATGTCACACTGCTTGCTTAGCGATATGGGGTGTTGCCGAGTCCTCAGGCAAAATGAGTATTGTTACGGATATGGATCATTTTCCGAATACTATTATGACAAGTATTTTTTAGTAATTATCCGTGATAGGAAAAAAATTATTTTCCGCTGCCAGCACGCATCTCTCTTTCACTCAAACAGTGTGAAGCGCTGTGTGCTCTAAACAACTATTGGCTAAATCTTCTGTCTGTAAAGAAATGGGCGGGGGATCGTTTGAGCCTGCTGCAATGATTGGATTAGAACAAGCCGCTCTCCATCTGATTTCATTTCACCCGACAGAAACATGCGCAGCTGTTTCACTCAGTCACTTGTCTCAGGGCACAAGTCTACCTACCCTTCTCCAAACATCTTGTATATACATCAGAATCCGTAGCTAGTCATTGGTGTTCAATCTAGTATAATTATTCCATTGCTGGCGTTATGTCCTGATCCAAGCCCATATTTCTTGCTATTATTATTATTTCTTCTTGCCCAAGCATGTTTACCGAGCGACAGATCATTAGAAAATAAAATTGCAAATGTAGATAGTTTATTTTGATTGTACAAATGTTGTGGCATAAGTGTCGGGAGAGAAAGTTGTTGCTCCTCTCGAAAGTGAAACAATACATGGGTCAAGTGAATTAGCCTACCTTCATCTACATCTGTGTCTGGAGTAAATGCAGGCAGTAGTAGCCAGCCATGCATTAGGCTATTTATTAGCCTATTTCGTTGATAATTCAATAGGACTATGTAAGTAAATAATGTGCATTGTCATCTGTCAGGGTCATTTACCTTTGAACAATGTGTGTGAATGAGTGAAGGAACTGTTGATAATGATGTACCCTGAGATAAACTCTGAGTGATAGAGCAGTCATGAAGGAACATATAATGATGTACTCTGAGTGATAGAGCAGTAATGTTAGTGAAGGAACATAACGATGTGCTCTGAGATGCACTCTGAGGGATAGCGCAGTAATGTGCACTTGAGGTATAGGTTTTACCGGCATTTAAAGCACACTTCCGGGTTTCCCGATCATGAGTCGATCCGATTACGAGTATGAAGTGTGATCAAACGGATACAGTTACGACGAGATCGCCACACCCCTACTTAGCGAGTACCACTTCCTCCCGATTCGGCCCATACCTGGTGCGAACTCGGAACCCTCTGCCTCACAAACACACACGATCGTCCTCCCTCAAGCGTCTTAGCCAATCACGCCACCTCAAAAGCTAGCTAATGAGGCGACGCAAGCAAGAAACTTCAGGCTGAGGAGGAAGTTTCACACATCCCCATGTGCTACATATGCAGTCAAGAATGTGGTAAAAATTCACCTGTTCATATAAACATTGCCCAATTTTCTTCACAGTCAAAATACTGTAAATCCTATGTGAAAGCAGTATGTGAGATTTGCGGTGACTTGGAAAAAAACGTCCTTTGGGCTAGAAACTAGTTGTAGGTTTTGGAAATCACTGTTTTTTTTACTTTTAATCTTACCCTGTGATGTCACAGAAGCATTTTTTAGGACCTTTCTTCTGATCTTTTAACCACATCAAAGAAACACTGCTGTTTTCACATACTGTATGTAGACACTCGTTTGGTGCTGGAGATGATGAATATGAAAAGTGGTAGAATTGCCCTTTAAGGCATACTGTCCATAGTCAGACTGAAATCAAGCCAGTCTTTTTATTATCTCTAATGCACACAATGCTTCCTCTTAAATTAGGCTTTTTTTTACACTGAAGTTCAGGAAATGTGTCCATGTCTCTGACCATTGACCTGTTAACTTTAGTTTGCCCTCAGCCAACCCCACCTCCACAGCAGACAGTCAGTCACTGCCAGGAAACCAAACCCTCAACTGACATCCATTCTGGCCTGCCTACATCTCCATAAAAATTATAATAGTGATAACCACTACATAGGCTACATCACAACTGGCGAGAACACTTTGAGTTCCAGTGATGGTTGTACTATCATCATTATTATATATGAATGTGTTTACTAATCATTTAATCCAGGAAGTTCTGCTAAAATAAAATAAAATCATATTTTCCAAGGGAGACCTGAAACAATATCTGATGAGTGATTTAACTCCAGAGGATGCCTTACTGTAGCCCGTGGCAGAGTCTCTGTCCTTCTGGTCTCCCCCCAGGAACATGTTGAGTGAGGAGTAGGGGACATGGTAACACTGGAGAGGGAAGAGATGGACTGTAACCACAGGAACAATGCACATAGAAGGGTAGAGTAGTTTGCTGTAACCATAGTTCTACTGTTAGGGCAGGGTGCACCTGAACATTATAAGCACTGCTGGCAAATGAGGATGGATTGTGGCTAATAGCTTAGTAGTAGCCACGGAGGACAGCCCCCTCAGGAGGCTGAAAAGATTTGGAATGGGCCCTCAGATCCTCAAAATGTTTTACATTTGCACCACTGAGAGCATCTTGACTGGCTGCATCACCGATTGGTATGGAAACTGCTTGGCATCCGACCGCAAGGCGCTAGGGTAGTGCGTACGGCCCAGTACATCAATGGGGCCGAGCTCCCTGCCATCCAGAACCTCTATACCAGGCGGTGTCAGAGAAAGGCCCTAATAATTGTCAGACTCCAGCCACCGAAGTCATAGGTTGTTCTCTCTGCTACCGCACGACAAGCGATACTGATGCACAAAGTCTGGAACCAACAGGACCCTGAACAGCTTCTACCGCAAAGCCATAAGACTAAATAGTTAGTTAAACAGTTAACCAATAGCTACCCGGATTATCTTCATTGACGCTTTTTGCACTAACGCTGCTATTACTGTTTATAATATATCCTGTTGCCTAGTCACTTTATCCCTACCTATATGTACATATCTACCTCAATTACCTCGTTCCCCTGCACATCGACTCAGTACTGGTACCCCGTGTATATAACCAAGTTATTGTTACTCATTGTGTATTTATTTATTGTGTTATTATTATTATTATTATTTTATTTTTTATTCTTTGCATCATTGGGAAGGGCCCGTAACTAAGTATTTCACTGTTAGTCTACACCTGTTGTTTATGAAGCATGTGACAAATACAGTTTGATTTGAGCTTACAGTCATGAAGGCGTCAAATAGGCAGCTCCAGATGAAGAACCAGAAGAAACTGGAGGAAGGAGACATGGCCTCCTGAGGCGTGAACCACATCATGATGTAGGCCAGGACACCCAGAGGCATGGAGAACACGATCCTGAGGGGTGGAAGGGAGGGAATATTACACATTATTTGAATGGTCAAAAATCATGGGCAGTTTGATCATAGGGGCGGTAACCTAAATCAGTGATGTGGTGTACGGAGAGATAATATGGGCCTTGCCCTTCTGAAGTCACTCACCAGGGGATGAGTTTGCCCATGCGTGTCCTACCACTCTTGGTGACCATATATCCCACCAGAGGGTCAGTGATGGCATCCCATGCTCGGCCAAGGAAGAGGATGAGAGATGCATAGAAGGCCCCCATCTAGAGGTGCAGTATAAAGAATCATTATTGGGTAGTGGTGGAGGTGGTGGGGTGGTTAAGGAATGTGCCTCTGTCCTGCGCTTTACTGTGAAAACATTGCCTGGCATTAATAGTATTCACTTCCAATGTAATGGAGGAGACGGTGTTGTTGCGTTATAGAGGAAGGCTGCTCTGTTGCACCATGGGATGAGGGCTGGGTGCAATACCACACCGATAAATAGACATAGCAAAAGCAGAACCTAACAGACACACTACCCTATTACCATCATGTGTGGGCTGTTTGGTTCCTCAGGACCGCAAGGGGTGTACGTTTTGGTTTTTGCCATAGCACTACACAGCTGATTCAAATAATCAACTAATAATCAAGCTTTGATAATTTGAATCAGCTGTGTAGTGTTAAAGCAAAAACCTAAACGTGCACCAAATTTGGGAAACACTGGTATAGTAGGTCTAAAGTAGTAGAATCTTACATTGAATTTCTAGAGGTACTAATGAGGGGTTTATAGCCAAGGCCACGCATAAAGGGGAAGTTATAAAATAACTTTTGTTAAACAACTCAACAAAGTGCAGCTGACACCAAGAACTAAACTTCAGCCATGATGTTCGAGGCAGATGGATTATTGTATTATTTTCTGCATTGTAAAAACAACTTTATTTGGAGAAGGGATGAGAGGTAAAGTATTTAGAAAAATATTTGCATTCCTACCACACCCTTGCAAAAACCCAGCACACACATCCTACAGGCATTACAAAACATGCTATAAGAATTGAACTGAGGACACTGTAGTGTATTAAGATTATGACTTAGTTAATGTTTTCAAGTGGAACCTGAGGGGATGTTTATTTAGGTTCAAAGAGAGCCGTTTTTAGGGTGACGCACCAGGGAAGACAGGGGATTGGACAGTAAAGGGAGCAACCCATATTTTGGGGAAGATTATAAATATAGGCTAGAGACAAAAACGGCAGAGCAGACATTGCAATTTGGGAACCACTGCTCTCCGGATGATATATACATCTGTACACTTATGCTGAAATCTTGTGATATGAATAAAACGTATGATCAAGGCTCAGTATAAGCGGACTCCTTTGTTACAGCATAACTAGCAACATTTGACTCGACACAACAACACTATTCCAGTTAATTTAGGATAGTCTATAGAACAACAATATCAATAGATTAATACCATCCTTATTGATAATACTGATATTATAATCCTTATTATTAATATGGGTGGGCGGGGGAAGTAAATATTTTCTACAAAATTCCATCTCAGATCAATAGTTGAGATTAAACATCAATGTCAATGTGTAGCTCAGCTGGTAGAGCACGGCGCTTGTAACGCCAAGGTAGTGGGTTCGGGCCCACCCCACCCATACACAAAAAAAATGTATGCACGCATGACTGTAAGTCGCTTTGGATAAAAGCGTCTGCTAAATGGCTTATTATTATGTCATCAAGGCAGACCTCATCCGACCCAAGCACTGACCTGTACAACATCCAGCAGGAAAATCTGCAGGAAGAATCCTTTTGCATTGGCGGTCATCTGATAGGGCATGCCACCAACTGCATAACATATCTTCCTGGAGAGAGGAATGCCTCTGGTTTTCTGCAATAATATTACATGCTTTATTTAGCCTGATCAATTCACATTAGTCTGAAATTGGGTGTATACAAATTGAGAGATTGAGAAAGTGGACAAAATAACGGGCAAAATAACATTACCGGTGTAGCGTTTCCATCCTCCGCTGTAACCGACTCCCTTTTCTCCTCATGCGGTGACCCATTTCTGATCACAGTGGTATGTGCCATTCTCTCGTTCACAACTTCTAAATAACGGTTATTTTACGCGCTATGGTATTTTAGTAGTAAGCGCTTTGAACTGCTGTAGGGTGAGAGGAGTGCCCCTGCATCGGTTTAAAGCAATATCAGCCAGTCCCCATTTTAGCTGTGATATTCAACACAGGATATTGATTCTTCTTCTTTCGGAAATATTGTGAAACCACACCAGTAACCACTCCTTGTTGAGATGACAACACCAACAGAAGGCTGATTATTATGGCTGGAGTACAACAGCTGCATACAAGAGATCCAACAACTAAAATAAAAAAAAGTAACGTTTTAATGGGCTTACCCTATAGAAATAGCACTGTAATGTATTGATAGACAAACAGCATTCCATATTTAAGCAGATTAGTTGACCGACTAGGCTAGGGTTCAAACCCAGGTCTCATCTGCACCAGAAGACCGTTAGCCTGCTGAGCTAAAGCCTAGTCGGTCCGGAGCCTGCTGGATTTCTGTTCAACCTGATAATGAATTGCACACAACTGGTGTCCCAGGTCTAAATCAATCCCTGATTAGAGGGGAAGAATGAAAAAATGCAGTGGAACTGGTTCGAGGTCCAGGGTTGAGTTTGAGGGGCCTAGGCATTAGCTTGGGGAGCTAACAATCACACAATCATGGGTCAATGAACCACCTCCATAACATTACCATATCATCAAAGACTGCCTTGTTGGTTAACAAAGTATGTAGATATTTTCGAGCATTGAGAAAACATAGAGCCCCAAAGTGTCATAATACCCAGAAACCTAGCGGTCAAACAGGGAAATGGTTAAAGTAAGGGCTGTGTTTCTTGTAGGCTTACCCTGGCGTGACGTTTTGATAACCGTGTAAATCTCTCTAGGACAAGGTATATTCGAATCAATTTATTCTCAGATTCAAAAATGCTAATTACATTTACGTCATTTAGCAGACGCTCTTATCCAGAGCGACTTACAGTTAGTGAGTGCATACATTTTTATTTTTTATACTGGAATCGAACCCACAACCCTGGCGTTGCAAATGCCATGCTCTACCAACTGAGCTACATCCCTGCCGGCCGTTCCCTCCCCTACCCTGGACGAATTGTGCGCCGCCGGCTACGACATAGCCTGGATTCGAACCAGGATCTCTAGTGGCTACAGCTAGCACTGCGATGCGGTGCCTTAGACCACTGCGCCACTCGGGAGGATCAAAGTAGACATCATGCAACCGACAAATCCCTGCAGGCTCCTGCACGTCATCTCTAGCTGACACCTTTGCTAACAGGTATTGTGTCAATTTAAAATTTGCACAAGACAGTTCACAGAATTGTCCATTTAAAGAAATTTAGCCAATTTATGATTTATTACATTTAGTTAACATTAGACAGTTAATCCAGAGATTCTTACCTTTGCCTCGATTCGGCAGTCTCGTCTAGATCATCATGGAATTTGTAGTTCTTTATGATAGCCACATTAGCGTTTCATGTTGGGGGGGGGGGGGTAAATACAGGCTAATATATTGATAAGTCACCTTGTCCTAGAGAGATTTACACGGTTCTCAAAACATCACGCCAGGGTAAGCCTACACGGAACACAGCCCTTGTTTTATGTGTTTCTAAAATTCCCTATGGGAAAAATGAATGGTGGAAAAACGATTGGAACCATTTCCCTGTTTAACCAGAGACAATGTCTTAAGCCTGCTCATTATAAATCCCACTTCCAGCCAGTGAGTTTTGGTGAGTTCTGGAGAGTTGTTTGATATCGTTGAAACTTGTTTCGCTATTGCAGAAATGTGGTAAGAGGTTAATGGGAAATGGTGGCGGGTAGTGCGGATGAAATGGAGGAAATTGAGAAAAAGTTGGTGAAGCAACAGCTGTGCTGGAATGCAAACATTATGGTTGTCAGTTCTGATGGTATGGAGCGGGAGGATGAGGGTCAAGGACCGGAATGGTCGGTAGTGGAAAGACACAGGAAGAAGAGAGATCATGATACAGAAAGACACAGGAAGAAGAGAGATCATGATACAGAAAGACACAGGAAGAAGAGGGATCATGATACAGAAAGACACAGGAAGAAGAGAGATCATGATACAGAAAGACACAGGAAGAAGAGAGATCATGATACAGAAAGACACAGGAAGAAGAGAGATCATGATACAGAAAGACACAGGAAGAAGAGAGATCATGATACAGAAAGACACAGGAAGAAGAGAGATCATGATACAGAAAGACACAGGAAGAAGAGAGATCATGATACAGAAAGACACAGGAAGAAGAGAGATCATGATACAGAAAGACACAGGAAGAAGAGAGATCATGATACAGGAAGACACAGGAAGAAGAGAGATCATGATACAGAAAGACAGGAAGAAGAGGGATCATGATACAGAAAGACACAGGAAGAAGAGAGATCATGATACAGAAAGACACAGGAAGAAGAGGGATCATGATACAGAAAGACACAGGAAGAAGAGAGATCATGATACAGAAAGACACAGGAAGAAGAGGGATCATGATACAGAAAGACACAGGAAGAAGAGAGATCATGATACAGAAAGACACAGGAAGAAGAGAGATCATGATACAGAAAGACACAGGAAGAAGAGAGATCATGATACAGAAAGACACAGGAAGAAGAGGGATCATGATACAGAAAGACAGGAAGAAGAGAGATCATGATACAGAAAGACACAGGAAGAAGAGAGATCATGATACAGAAAGACACAGGAAGAAGAGAGATCATGATACAGAAAGACACAGGAAGAAGAGAGATCATGATACAGAAAGACACAGGAAGAAGAGAGATCATGATACAGAAAGACACATGAAGAAGAGAGATCATGAAACAGAAAGACACAGGAAGAAGAGGGATCATGATACAGAAAGACACAGGAAGAAGAGAGATCATGATACAGAAAGACACAGGAAGAAGAGAGATCATGATACAGAAAGACACAGGAAGAAGAGGGATCATGATACAGAAAGACACAGGAAGAAGAGAGATCATGAAACAGAAAGACACAGGAAGAAGAGGGATCATGATACAGAAAGACACAGGAAGAAGAGAGATCATGATACAGAAAGACACAGGAAGAAGAGGGATCATGATACAGAAAGACACAGGAAGAAGAGAGATCATGATACAGAAAGACACAGGAAGAAGAGAGATCATGATACAGAAAGACACAGGAAGAAGAGAGATCGTGATACAGAAAGACACAGGAAGAAGAGGGATCATGATACAGAAAGACACAGGAATAAGAGAGATCATGATACAGGAAGCAGTGGAGTGTCTAGTAAAGGAAGCATAAAGAGGGTAGTGAGTATAGTAGTGATGTGTTGGAGTGGAAAGTGGTGATAGTGTTTGATGAGACCACATGGCCTCACTTACACCCTATCTTTTTTATTTTTTTATTTCACCTTTATTTAACCAGGTAAGCCAGTTGAGAACAAGTTCTCATTTACAACTGCGACCTGGCCAAGATAAAGCAAAGCAGTGCGATAACAACAGCAACAACACAGAGTTACATATGGGGTAAAACAAAACATAAAGTCAAAAAATACAACAGAAAATATATATACAGTGTGTGCAAATGTAGCAAGTTATGGAGGTAAGGCAATAAATAGGCTATAGTGCAAAATAATTACAATTAGTATTAACACTGGAATGCTAGATGTGCAAGAGATTATGTGCAAATAGAGATACTGGGGTGCAAAAGAGCAAAATAAATAACAATATAGGGATGAGGTAGTTGGGTGGGCTAATTTCAGATGGGCTGTGTACAGGTGCAGTGATCGGTAAGGTGCTCTGACAACTGATGCTTAAAGTTAGTGAGGGAGATAAGAGTCTCCAGCTTCAGAGATTTTTGCAATTCGTTCCAGTCATTGGCAGCAGAGAACTGGAAGGAATGTGTTGGCTTTGGGAATTACCAGTGAGATATACCTGCTGGAGCGCAGACTACGGGTGGGTGCTGCTATGGTGACCAATGAGCTAAGATAAGGCAGGGATTTGCCTAGCAGTGATTTATAGATGGCCTGGAGCCAGTGGGTTTGACGACGAACATGTAGTGAGGACCAGCCAACAAGAGCGTACAGGTCACAGTGGTGGGTAGTGTATGAGACTTTGGAGACAAAACGGATGGCACTGTGGTCTAAGGCACTGCATCGCAGTGCTAACTGTGCCACTAGAGATCCTGGTTCGAATCCAGGCTCTGTCGCAGCTGGCCGCGACCGGGAGACTCATGGGCGGCGCACAATTGGCCCAGGGTAGGGGAGGGAATGGCCGGCAGGGATGTAGCTCAGTTGATAGAGCATGGTGTTTGCAACGCCAGGGTTGTGGGTTTGATTCCCACGGGGGGGCAGTATAAAAAAAAAAAAATTGATTCACTAACTGTAAGTCGCTCTGGATAAGAGCGTCTGCTAAATGACTAAAATGTAATGTAAATGTGATAGACTACATCCAATTTGCTGAGTAGAGTGTTGGAGGCTATTTTGTAAATGACATCGCCGAAGTCAAGGATCGGTAGGATAGTCAGTTTTACGAGGGCATGTTTGGCAGCATGAGTGAAGGAGGCTTTGTTGCGAAATAGGAAGCCGATTCAAGATTTAACTTTGGATTGGAGATTCTTAATGTGAGTCTGGAAGGAGAGTTTACAGTCTAACCAGACACCTAGGTATTTGTAGTTGTCCACATACTCTAGGTCAGACCCGTCGAGAGTGGTGATTCTAGTTGGGTGGGCGGGTGCCAGCAGCGTTCGATTGAAGAGCATGCATTTAGTTTTACTAGTGTTTAAGAGCAGTTGAAAGCTACTGAAGGAGTGTTGTATGGCATTGAAGCTCGTTTGGAGGTTTGTTAACACAGTGTCCAATGAAGGGCCAGATGTATACAAAATGGTGTCGTCTGCGTAGAGGTGGATCTGAGAGTCACCAGCAGCAAGAGCGACATCATTGATATACACAGAGAAAAGAGTCGGCCCAAGAATTGAACCCTGTGGCACCCCCATAGAGACTGCCATAGGTCCAGACAACAGGCCCTCCGATTTGACACATTTAACTCTATCTGAGAAGTAGTTGGTGAACCAGGCGAGGCAGTCATTTGAGAAACCAAGACTGACTGACTAATGTCGTAGAGAAAGAGGTAGGTGAAGTGAAATGGTTAATTGGAAATGGTAGATTGTTAATATTGTGTGGTAGCCAGGCTCAGCAAGAGAAGATTTTGAAAATGGAAAAGCTTAATGGGAAGAAAGAAGATTAAAAGCCATGTCCCTGGTGCTTATGCTAGATTGAGGGGAGTCATCACTGGGGTCCCAATATCTATGTCCACAGATTATTTTAAAGAAAATGTAAAGGGAAGCAGAGTGATTGAGGCCAAAAGGTTGATCAGTAGGAAAGAGGGTCAAAGAAGTAAAAGCTTATCAGTGATGCTGAGGTTTGAGAAAGTCTTGTCGGGAAAAGTAGAGATAGGATTCCTTAGTTTCAATGTTAGAGAATTTGTCCCATATGCACAGCGGTGTTTTAAATGCCAAAGAATGGGACATGTAGTTGCTCAGTGTAAAGGAAAGAAAAGATGTGCCAAGTGTGGAGGGGCACATGATTACGGTGAATGTGGAAGCAATGTGAAGGTTAAGTGCTGTAATTGTGGGGGAGAACACAGTGCAGCATTTGGTGGATGCCAGGTACAGAGAGGGGCTAGAGAGGCTCAGAGATATAGGATCAGTCATGATGTATCGTATGCACAGGCCGTAAAACAGATTGGTAGAACTACAGTGCGGACTGATGGAGCTTACATGGATGTACCTGTAGTAAGTGGACCTGCTGTCGGGGCTGGTGCTTCTGATGGTCCTGGCATGGTTTCGGGGCCTGTTCAGAAATCTTGTGCCCATGAATGTGCGGTGTCAAAGGACACTGATTATGTATCAAGTTGACTTCATAGCTTTTATTGGTAAGGTTATCAATACGACTCGGGTTGTTGAAAGCAGAAATGCCAGGTTGAAGGTTATTGTGGAGACTGCAAAAGAGATATTGGGGGTAACAGATGTTATTGTTGAAATAGTTGTTGACATGCTGAACAATCCTAAGGGTGGAGTGTTTCAGCATGATATAGATAACGTTTAATTGGGAGGGTGTGGTAGAAGTGTCGTAGTAAATATTAAAATGTTATAGCTTGGTCTGACTAAAATCTTGTGCATGACCCATTTTAATGTTAGGAGCTTGTTTTCAATCAATGCTGTTCCTATGCAAGAACAATGGACAGAGCCAATATCTTCTCAAGGACAACACCCACGCCACAGGCCACAATCTGGTTGCTCCCCACGAGTCTTTCCTTTGAGAACATACACACATTCACACACACATCTCCATGCATACGCACACTCATCCTCATGCCTCACGAGTTACGCACACACACAAACTGCACTTCTTTCTACTGGTCGGGTGCCTAGGGCAGAGGACTCTGCCGTGCACAAAATGGGGCTTCTACTCTGGACAGAGCAGACCCGCCTCCTACGCCTCCGGAACCAATCAAGGGACTAGAAGAAGGACCCCTTCCTTTGTGTTGCATTGTATAAAGTAATGCTGAAAACTCTGTTTTTGATCCCTTTTCAACTGTCTCCATAAGAGGCAACTGATTGGGCCCATGCATGTAGCTTGAGCAGTACCAGCTATCTCTGTGTTTAATAAACTGCCTTTTGCTTAAACATATTCCTCTCCGTCTAGCGTCGTTGGTTTGTACTTCCTCTCCTTATGGTTCCACCAACAAAATGGTAGCAGAGGATGGTTTTTAATTCGATCTAAAAGTTGGTGCGAGAGGAAAAGGCAAATCATCGATCTAAAAACAGACGGAAGAGTGACCTGAAAATCCTGGAGAAATCAACTATTCGTCTTGGCTCAGGAACCTGATCAGAGCGCGCTCTTCTAAAAAGGTATGCAGAGCCTGTTAAAACGAAATCTTGCATATTGTATTATAGACCAATACCAAATTATGATCAGTAGTACTGAGCGTGAGTATGAATACTTGTTAAATAATTTCCATCCTAAATGAATTAAGGCATAAATGAGATATCTGGTACTGTGAACACTGAGAACTGTGTATATTATGAGAGTCTTACCAGTGGCTGAATACTGATGGTTGTATATTATGAGAGTCTTACCAGTGACTGAATACTGATGGTTGTATATTATGAGAGTCTTACCAGTGACTGAATACTGATGGTTGTATATTATGAGAGTCTTACCAGTGACTGAATACTGATGGTTGTATATTATGAGAGTCTTACCAGTGGCTGAATACTGATGGTTGTATATTATGAGAGTCTTACCAGTGACTGAATACTGATGGTTGTATCATGTATTATAACGTGTAATTTTTGGCTGTGTGTTTTGATGTATTATAACGTGTAATGAATGATGGGAAGTTATAGTGAGACTTATGAAACTGAACACCAATCTGTGGAATTGAGTGAATTTGACCTAGGGTTTCAGGAACCGGGGACTGGGGAGACTGATATTGAAGTTGTGCACGATTCTAGAACAAGCCTGGATAACTAAAGCGTGGTGTGTGCTGTGTGTGGAAATTACTGCATTGGTATATGTGACTGAAATTCTGATTTTTATGATAAAGATTGCATTACACATAATATAAAAACAATCAGCCTCTTTTTATACGAGGGTGTCGTACATGAGATAAGTCTGTATTTGATACCGATAATACATCCTTGGAAATAAAACATCAGGGACGGGATAAATCTATAAAGATAGAGAAACAAGATGGCAGGGCCAAACATAACTAAACCCAAATTTAATGAATACCTACAACAACGAATGACAGAGAGAGCAGGGGGAAAAGAACAGTATAAGACAGTTAAAAAAGTATGGGAGCAGGTGAAGTTGAGATGGACACAGGCAGGTTACCTCAGAGGGGGACCTCCCTCGGAGGAAGAACTCAAGATTATGGAGAAAGGTCTAGAAGTGGCAGTTGAGAAAGCCAAGGGGGAGGAAGAAGGAAAGAACAAGGCACATAAGTTTAAGAATAAGGGAACTAAGGAAAGAGAGAGGGCTGAGGGAAAGCTGAGAATAGGGACATGGGCATTAGAGGAGAGCAGGAGGGTGCAGCCAAAGACGATGTGTGTGGCCACTGCAGCTCCAGTAGAGATCCAAACCCCATTCAAGGGTTCTCCTACAGCTCCCCCAGAGGCCAACACCAGCACCACACCTGTTCCCACTTCACTATACCCATTGTTGACAAAGGAGGCACTGCGGCCCCCACCATACACACCAGGACAGGATCCTCAGCCTGCAATACAGGCCCCTGTTCTAACAGTAGGAGAAGGGAGCCTGAAAGGCACCATGACTTTTGACATATCTGGAGGGCAGTTGCTGTGTGAACAGCCGCCCTCTACCAGCACTCCATATCAACCCAAAGAACGAGAAGGGGGAGACCCGACCTCTCCTGGAGGTCGCTCCCTGCTCTCTTTTAACAACCCTGTGAGCGGAGTGAATAGTGGGTGTCACCAACAACTGAACCCAGAATTTTTCAGACAACATTCTTCACAGGACCTTAGAGGGGGAAGGCGTGGCCAATTGAGCAATCAAAGCAGAGATATGGAAGATGATGAAGACAGAAGAGCTTACATTAGCGAACTGGATAAAAACAGAAGGATACCCACTGAAGATGAAATAGAAAGTGAAATTAAAAAATTGGAAATCCAATTAGGAAGATCCCGAGCTGAAGTTGAGGTGCTCCTTGCTCCAGGTGAGAACGAAGGGGCCGAGTACCTAGTGGAGGGAATAATGAGAGGAACAGTGACAAACGTGACAGATACCTTGAGAGATATCACAACACATGAGCAACATCGGAGGTCAGCCAGAGTGGCAGAGAGGAACAGGACAGGAGGACCCCAAAGAACAGACTGGGAAACCGAAAGGTCAAGAATGTGCCCTCTCAGGCCTGCAGCTAATCCGGCCTATGTGGAGTATGAACCATGGAAGATGACTGATTTGACTACACTAATGGAACAAATGCCCAGTCTGCATGGAGGAGCGTCCTCCTGGTTGAACAAACTACAGACTCTCACATCAGGTCTGAACCTATGTCTAGGTGACATGAGGGCATTAGTTGCAAGAGCAACTAATCATGGAACAATGACCAGCATCATGACAGCTGCAAACCTAGATGGAAGGGCAGCTACCCTGCCTCTAGATCATTTCAGGACAAATCTATGGGATGCGTTGCGAAGGGCCTACCCCACAGAAAGAAACCAGGCCTTGCTTTCCTCCTTCACCATCAACCCAGGAGAGCATCCAGCTGAGTATCTAGACAGAGCCAAAACTACCTGGAGGACAGTAAATGAAGAACCATTTGATCACACTGATACAACCCTCAACATGTGGAAGGAGATGGTGATCAATGGATGCCCAGGGGATGTGAAGACCAAGCTACGTGCAACAGTGGGTTTAACAACCCTTCCCTTGACGCAATTCAACGCACATGTGCACCACCGCGTTACTCAACACAACAAGGACAAAGGGGGAGCTGAGAGTCAGGTCCAATCTCTCCAAGTACAACTACTAAAACTCCAACTAAAGGAGGCCCAAAAAGGAGAAAAACCAAAGAAACAAATGCTAGCAGAAGAAACAACAGGTGAGAACGTGATGCCTGACGTCTCTCAAATTGTAGCCCAGACTGTATCCCAGATGATACAATTACAAACACCCCCTCTCCAAGGAAATCTGGACCAATACCCGCCCCAACCACCATTTCAGCCAACCCAACCTTGGCGAAGACCCCCTCCAAGTCCAAGGGATGGGTATTATCTGTGTTACAATTGTCAAACACCCGGCCATTTTCGCCGTGATTGCCCCCAGCCAAGACAGGACAACAATAAACAAACCCCTTGGAGAGGACCTTATAGAGGTGCACGCAACAACAGGGGAATGGGGAGGGGTGAAAGACCACAACCATACCAACAACCACAACAATCACCAGGCAACCAACAAGGACAAGGCCAACCACATAACCAAGCAGAGTTTCAAGGCATGGCAGGGGAACCCATGTTCTGGCCATGAAGGTGCCCACCACCTACGACAGAAAGAGGGGGTGGCAGAGGACAGGACGAACTCTGGAGGTGCCATGATGGAAGACAAGTCGAACCAGCTGGACTCTGCCGAGTCCCACACATCTGGTGGCACCCTCACATGACAGAAACTGTAGACAGGTTTTCAAAATGGGTAGAGGCAATTCCTACAGAAAACTACAGAAATAGAGGATGATAGGTCAGTCATTAAGTGGCTACAAACTAAGTTAATACCCAGATATGGTATACCAGGGCAGATAAGATCTGACAACCACACATTTTAGCAACAAACACCTGAAAAAGGTGGAGGTAAGATTCGGAATCATGCACAGATTCGGTTCAGTAACATCCACAGTCCCAACCAAACATTTAAAGCTAAAATAACAAAGGTTTGTGCAGGAACAAAATTAACATAGGTCCACCAAGGGAGGGAGGTCATATGCCCTCCCTTGATGTACAACAGATAGAAATGACTGATTATGTGTAGAAATTGACGGAATTTTCTGCAGCACTCTCTTCTCAGGTGCAGAAGGCCCAAGAGGGGGAGCTGTCAGGAAACACGCCACCACTGAAGGTAAAAGTGGGAAACTGGGTGAGGGTGAAAGTCCACAAAAGAAAGTGGCTGGAACCCAGGTGGACTGGACCGTACGAAGTGAAGGAGGTTACTTCACACTCAGTCCAGGTCAGAGGTAAATCAGGAGCACCCTGGCACCATCTAACACATTGCACTCCAGCCCCCACTCCTTCCAGACTATTGTCTGAAGTAAGAGCTGATTTGAGCAGCGAGAACCAATCCTGACAACACAATGAAGAAACCCTTATGGGAACAACAATCTCACTCAGGGAGAAGGATTCCTAGCTCCATAGACGGTTGGTTTGATAACATATTTGGTAAATGGAAAACTATTGTTGTGACTATTCTGGGTGAAGTTATGGCCTCTATGGGTATACTTGTTCTTTGTGGATGTTGCCTTATTTCCTGGCTGAGTGACTGGTTTGGTGAGTACTCTTCTATGGTGGTTACTGGATTTCTGACCCTAGTAATTGTGTTTTTGCTGTTAATGTGTTGTGCTGCTTGCATCGTACCCTGTCTCAGGAGGTCAGTGGTAGGAGTGGTGCAGGCGTAAGGTATGATGCTGTTGTTACCGGACCAGGATGATGCAGGTGACTCTGCTACTGACTCTGAGACCAAGCTGGATGATCCATGTTTTGCCTAGTAAAATACATACACGCATTTATTTTCAGTTCTTGCTCATTTATTACCTTATGTTTTTACTAACCACTGTGATTGTTTATTCTTCCTGATGTGAAGGTAAAGGATTCCTGGGTGGCTGGTAGCCAACTCAGTACATGTTAGGTGTAGGGGAGGAATAGAGGGTTAAAATTATTATTTTTATTTTTATTAACATTAAATGTTGTGATTTAATTTCCATATCCTCTTATTCTTAAGGGTGATTATACTCTGTTTAGAGTGACACCATAAAATTGTTGGCTTTTATTTTTAATTGGATCTGTATGTGATGAATAGCTTGGAAGGAATGCATTAAGGAGGAGCACTGTACTGATATGGATTGTTTCACATAACAGGCTGATAAGAACACTCTCTCTTTGTTGTCTGTGAAACTGTCCTTGAACATGGGTACATTTTGGGTGCTGACTGTTGTACCATTAATAAAAACGTCGATAGAATTAACTACATACATTAATGTCCAGAAATTAGACAACTGGACTCAACAAGGTTTTGAGGCTGTTCATGGACAACTAGCTGCAACTTCATTAATGGCTTTTCAGAATAGAATTGCTGTTGATATGTTACTTGCTGAAAGAGGGGGTGTGTGTGCTATGTTCGGGGAACAATGTTGTACTTTTATTCCTAATAATACTGCTGCAGATGGAAGTTTGACAATTGCTCTGGAAGGGTTACTAGCTCAGTCGGTAGAGCATGAAGAGCCACTCAGGGGTGGATACTTGGATGGATGCGTTTGGTAAATATAAAACGCTTGTTTCTTCTATACTTGTATCCATCTCTGTTTTTGCTGCAATTCTAGTGCTTTGTGGATGCTGTTGCATTCCATGCATACGGACGCTGACAACCAGGATTATAACCACCGCTATTGATCCAAATCCTGCAGATAACGGTCAGATGTTTCCTTTGCTTGCTATTGACGATGCTGACCAAGGATATCTGGATGATGAATAGCATTTAAGCTTTTTGTCACGTCTCTTGTGAGACGTGAAGAGGGGGAATGTAAAACTTTATCTTCTGATAAAGTTTTCCCTATTTTGCCAATTGCAGCATTTAAGCTTTTTGTCACGTCTCTTGTGAGAAGTGAAGAGGGGGAATCAAAACTTTATCTTCTGATAAAGTTTTCCCTATTTTGCCAATTGCACTATTAGCTTGTGTCACGTCTCTTGTGAGACGTGAAGAGGGGGAATGTAAAACTTTATCTTCTGATAAAGTTTTCCCTATTTTGCCAATTACACTGTTAGCTTGTGTCACGTCTCAAGTTTTCCTTCTTTACTGTTACTTGGTCACGTCTCTGGGGAGACGTGAAGAGGGGGATTTGTCGTAGTAAATATTAAAATGTTATAGCTTGGTCTGACTAAAATCTTGTGCATGACCCATTTTAATGTTAGGAGCTTGTTTTCAATCAATGCTGTTCCTATGCAAGAACAATGGACAGAGCCAATATCTTCTCAAGGACAACACCCACGCCACAGGCCACAATCTGGTTGCTCCCCACGAGTCTTTCCTTTGAGAACATACACACATTCACACACACATCTCCATGCATACGCACACTCATCCTCATGCCTCACGAGTTACGCACACACACAAACTGCACTTCTTTCTACTGGTCGGGTGCCTAGGGCAGAGGACTCTGCCGTGCACAAAATGGGGCTTCTACTCTGGACAGAGCAGACCCGCCTCCTACGCCTCCGGAACCAATCAAGGGACTAGAAGAAGGACCCCTTCCTTTGTGTTGCATTGTATAAAGTAATGCTGAAAACTCTGTTTTTGATCCCTTTTCAACTGTCTCCATAAGAGGCAACTGAATGGGTCCATGCATGTAGCTTGAGCAGTACCAGCTATCTCTGTGTTTAATAAACTGCCTTTTGCTTAAACATATTCCTCTCCGTCTAGCGTCGTTGGTTTGTACTTCCTCTCCTTATGGTTCCACCAACAGAAGTTAGGGATTTATTTGGTTTTGAATTTTATTTTCATGGTAGTACAGAATTGGGTAAATCATGATTGATCGTACATTCCAGCACAGTAGGAGTCGGCATGCACTTCAACGATTGTTTGCGGACCGCCATGATATTATAGAAGAGGAAGAAGACGAAGAAGAAGACTAGGGTTGCTATGTTCACAATTTCGAGGAATTTAGCTACTTTGAAAACGATGTCGCGGGTGGCGAGTTTTTGGGCTACTTCTTAATTGCACGGCGGCCGCCATGGCATTTCACGATTTTATTTATTTATATTTCACTGTTACCTGCTGCTGACTATCAGGCAGTGAGCAGGCTGTTACTGAGTGAGTGAGTGAGTGGTGGGGAAGGGCCGGAGGGGTGTGTGCGTTGAGCGTACTGGTTGAGAGTGATGCAGCAGAAACAGCGGAGTCACGGAACGGAAACAGAGTAGCACGCGCGCACGTCGTGACAACTTTTTACCAATTGTAGGTAGGCTATTTATATAAAAATATAAATCCAACAATTTCAAAGATTTTACTGAGTTACAGTCCATATAAGTCAATTGAAATGCATTCATTAGTTCATAATCTATGGATTTCACAAAACTGGGCAGGGGTGCGGCCATGGGTGGGCCTGGGAAGGCATAGGCCCACCCACTGGGGAGCCAGGCCCAGCCAATCAGAATGAGTTTTTCCCCACAAAAGCGCTTTATTAGACAGAAATACTCCTCAGCACCCCCCATAACAAAGAGTTGCAGTCTGTTTTGGAATGGGTGGCCAGTAATAAACTGGTCCTGAACATCTCTAAAACTAAGAGCATTGTATTTGGTACAAATAATTCCCTAAGTTCTAGACCTCAGCTGAATCTGTTAATGAATGGTGTGGCTGTTGTACAAGTTGAGGAGACTAAATTACTTGGTGTTACCTTAGATTGTAAACTGTCATGATCAAAACATATAGATTCAATGGTTGTAAAGATGGGGAGAGTTCTGTCCGTAATAAAGAGATGCTCTGGAAAGACTGACGGTGTCAATTCTTGTTTTTATAAGAAACATTGTGTTGGAAATTCCAAATTGTTTGCAGTCAACTTACACACAGCACTGACACACACACTTACCCCACAAGGGTCTTTTCACAGTCCCCAGGTCCAGAATAAATTCAAGGAAACGTACAGTATTATACAGAGCCATGAGTGCATGGAACTCCCATCTTATATAGCGCAAGTGAACAGCAAACCTGGTTTCAAAAAACAAATAAAGCAACACCTCACGGCACAACGCCTCTCCCCAATGTGACCTACTTGTGTGTATGTACTGGCATGTATGTGTAAATCAGATGCACACACACACACTACATGTTCATGTTTTTAAATTTATGTAAATTGTAAAGTACTTTATCTGTAATGTAAGACTAGCTGTCGCCATTGACGTCAGCTAATGGGGATCCTAATAAATCAAATCAAACGGGGTATCGTAGTAGGTGCCAGGCGCACCGGTTTGTGTGAAGAACTGCAACGCTGCTGGATTTTTCACTCAACACTTTCCCGTGTGTATCAATAATGGTCCACCACCCAAAGGACATCCAGCCAACTTGACAACTGTGGGAAGCATTGGAGTCAACATGGGCCAGCATCCCTGTGGCTGTCCTGGGGGCAGGGGGGTGCAACTCAATATTAGGAAGGTGTCCTTAATGTGTCGTACACTCAATCTGTATCGGTAAAAGAAAGGAAAAAGTCTTTTAAAAAAACATTCAGTCTTTTGTTGTTGATGGTTTGTTGATTCTGAATGTGATGGGAGCACAAGGTTCCTGGCGTACGTTGGGGGTGCATGTTCAGTCGGGTTGAGTTGATGGGAACTTGTGTGGAAAAAGCAGGCAAGCGTTGAGCCAGAGGAGAGATGAGTGGAAGATGAACAAAACAAAATGGCAGTATTATAAACTAAAGCAGTCTCTGAAACTGTTAAGAAAGCTTTAATGTTACTGTGCATTTTCAACTCCTACTTTCTAAACAGGTTTTTACCACCAGAGCTGCCTTTCATCAAAGCCTTATCTGCTCCCCACTTCCCAACATATGCCCCTCACAAACAGCGGAAGAGGGAAAATGTATCAACACTATATATATATATATGTATAAAAAAAAAAGGAATTAGAAGTCCTTAAGTCCATGGTGTCTCGTCCCTCGGATGGGAGCTGTGAACCAGCCAGGCAACCAGGGGTCTCCATCACTTTAGCCGCTGCACAATGACTGCGTTGAGCAGGTTGGCATCCTGCAGCGACTGGCTCTCGTCAGTCAGCTCCTTGTTGGGGAAGGTTGTCATGAGCACAAACTCTGTCGCCGCCATCAAAGGGCGAGCTCCCACCACAAACTGACGCAAGTCCGACACCCTGAGGACAGGAAGAGAAAGAATGAGGAGAAAATAGGTAATATGCTGTTTGTCATGCCCTTCATAGAGGGAGTAGGGAGATGTACAGCTTCATGGCTCCAACACTGACCTGTGAGTGTGGTTGAACTTCTGCACCAGTCTCCCCCCGTCGGCCAGTCTGATCTGGATGTTGGTCACAGGCTTGGAGGCATCCAGGTTTACAGAGGCGATAGCCTGGGCCTCACTGGCTACCCGGTCCTGGTCTCCAATACACGGAGCAGACACCAGCTCAGGGGTGGCACTGAATGGACAGGTGAGGTGGGAGAGAGACATTTATTGTGATTATACTGTATTTGACATAGATTTGTTGAAGACAATATTATAAGTGCACATTTTCCCAAAAGATAATATCAGGTTTTGAAAAATTGTTGGGTTCCTTTATGATTTTAACTTAAAGTCCATCAAATACAATATCAATTTGTGCCAAAATTCCCCTTTCTACCCCCTTGTGGTAATAAAGTCTAACAGTCACCGTATTAAGGCATTGTGCTGAAAAGGGGGGACAATTTCATTGCTTCCTCTGTATTGAATTCTATGAGAATAGAACTCACCCACCTGCCCAGTTTCTGTCCTTCCCCACCGAATGCCTTGAAGGCAACCTTGGGTTTGGAGAAGTCCTCATCCCGATGGTCCTCCATATCCAAGTTGACCTGACCCCCTCGGGAGCGCTGCCTCAACTCCAAAGGAATCTCCCTGAGAGGAGGAATGACTTCTATTATGACAACGCTTCAGAGAGAGAGGCATGTAGCCTCCAGCTGTCTAGTGCGGAGCAGAATGTGTATGCCATAAATACATTTATAATGTAAAGGGAGGATTTAGGAAAATGATATGACATGAGCTGTCATGCATATTAAAAGTATGACAAGGATATGGTACAGACAGTGTACTCACCCCCTGCGGATGGACTCCAGGAAGATGGCGTTGCCAGGATCGCTGTAGTTTCTGAGTTCACCGTCGTCCAGGCTGAAGCCTGTCTTCCACAGCTTTAGGACTACATGCACCTTCAGAACGTAGTGAAGAACATACGTAAGTAAGTAAAAGAAGTAAACTTAAGTGAACTGAAGTAAATGTATTCTTCTGAGATCTAATGTATAACTAGCAATACAAAAAATCCAAATAAATTAACTGTCAAACACTCACATCCTGCTGGCTGTTAGCTGCTCTTCTCTCTCCAGCCACGTAAACAGGCTCCTCCTCAGGCGCTGCACCAAGCCGGTAGCCGCCACCAATAAAAGGCTAGAGGGGGGAAGAGGAGGAAAACAGTTAGAAAAACATTATGACGACTAACATCATACACCATTAGCTCTATCAATCCCAAAACACAGGCCTAATAACACATACATGTGATCAGTAAATGAAAGAGGAATGATCCTGGTGCAGGACATATTACTGGGAAGCTTTTCTTACCCTGGCTCGACTAGGCTCTCCTGGGCCCCTCCCAGCCTTCTCCACGGGTACGGCCCCATGCTCCTTAGCCCCCTTAAACAGGTCCTCCACCACCTCATTAGAGCTCTTCTTTTTGGGAGGGCCCACTATCTGCTGCCCACTATGTTCGGAGCCCCCAGCAAAGAACCTGGAGGGAAGCAGAGGAAGGATGTAGCAATTAAAGAGAGGAAAGAACACAACCTGGATTTTGGATCTTGTCCAAGCTTCTGGTTACAACACCAGTGCTGTGATTGTGTGGACGAGTAACACAATAACACAGGGACACCCCCAACCAGCAGAATATGTTGATGCAGCAGAAAGCAATACCAGCCTACAGAGAACTGAATACAGAAACCAAAATAGTTTGGTACATTCTGGAGGCACACTAGCCTGGGTACCATTCTGTTTCTGTGTTTGCCTACATGCAATGTGAAATTCATTGAATACACCCCAATGTCATAGAAGTATATGTAACCGGTGTGAAATTGCTAGCTAGTTAGCGGTGCACGCTAGTAGCGTTTCAATCAGTGACGTCACTCGCTCTGAGACCTTGATGTAGTTGTTTCCCTTGCTCTGCAAGGGCCGCGGCTTTTGTGATGGGTAACGGTGCTTCGAGGCTGACTGTTGTCGATGTGTGCAGAGGGTCCCTGGTTCAAGCCCAGGTTGGGGTGAGAAGAGGGACAGAAGCAAAACTGTTACATATAGTCAGACCTACCTTTGCCCTTCCTCCTCATCACTGTCATCTACTTCCTCGTGCATCATATCTCTGAAGGAGGTCACCCTAGTTTCACAACAGAAACACAACGAATAACAATCAACATCAATCGCGTAGCATGAAATGTTTCATATAATATATTTTTAAAGTTTGACAAGGGAAACACTGAAAGGACTTGGATATTGGCTATCCTGTTTTAATGATACCCAGAGTAACAATAGATTTACGGAGGTCAGTTAGTTAGCTATGTACCTGGGCCCTGTGGGACGAGGCACAGAGGATCCACCACTCTCTGGCTGAGGAAGAGTCACTATGTCATCCTCAGGACCATCTTCAAAGAAACTGGCCAGGGCAAGCTAAGAAAACAGGCCAAGACGCCATGTCATCCAAACATCAAGATTTCAGTGTCTAGTCACAGTCTAAACCTGAGCGCTACTTTGCTAGAGCTTAATTGTGAACTTGCCAAATTAAAAGGTAGCTAACTAAAAAGGATGATATTCAACTAGCAATTAGATAGGATGGGGAAATCTGATGAATTAGTTAACTATCATCTCAGTCACTTGATGAACGATTAATGTTAGCTAGTTATGATTTTGAAGTAGGCTAACTGCTGGACAACGCTATCTGCCAGTCTGAGAGCAAGCTAGCTAACCTGCTAGCCAGATAGCTAGAACGCAGTGAACGAGCCATTCATAATGAAACAGATTTGTTAGCAAGCTAACATTAAACAAGCTAACTATTAGACAGCGGTAGTAAAACATTGGTAACTGTATGAAACTGATTGGTAGATATAGGTCCTAGGGAATAAGACAGCAATGGCCATTCAAGCTTTTGTTGTGAGAATGAGGTGACTTGCAGAAACTAGCTACGTTAGTTATCTAGTACCGGCCAGCAGTATGTGCTAGCAGTGGTGATCTGGCAGCTATCTAACTACTGTCATTCGTATGTCGTTGTGAGTTGAAATCAAATATCACATTTAGTACAACTTGTACGTACCTGCAAATCCCAGCCGGCAGACTCCAAGAAAAAACGGGCCCTCTCCTCATCAACATCAGTAACAGCAACGAACTCCCTTACCGAGTCTTCTTGGTCCGCCATTTTGATATGCCCATTCAGTGACTGTTCTGACTCCAACTACCAACTTGGTTCCTATCTGAGCAAGATGTGGTTCCTATCTGTGCAAAATGCAGTATGCTACAGTAGGGTGAAAAAAAATAGGCCTAGAGAGTACACCAATGTTTATGAAATGTTGTATTTAGCACAAAGTAAATACATTTTATTTCGAGGAATAATATTTCACATATAGTTGACATTTATATATATAAAAAAAAGTATTTTCTGTATTACCATAACAAATACACCCTCATTTTCTGCGAAAGCAAAGGGGCAATCTGGGATTTGAAAAACAACAAAGACACCACCACTTGTTTTTGTAAACAGCTGAGGGATGGGAGTGGAGAATTGTAACCACTCTCAAATTCATAGACAGAGCTATGATGCAAGGACTGACCATCCATGGGATTAACCTTTTAGATTTAACCATGTTTTGAAGCTATATTGGTGTTTGTTTACAATTAAAACAAGCTTATATTTTGGGTTCTGATGTGGTACAATAGTTCTACTAAGCCTACTCAGCCTATAGAGTATGTGGACAACTACAAATACCTAGGTACCTAGGTGTCTGGTTAGACTGTAAACTCTCCTTCCAGACTCACATTAAGCATCTCCAATCCAAAGTTAAATCTAGAATCAACTTCCTATTTCGCAACAAAGCCTCCTTCACTCATGCTGCCAAACATGCCCTCGTAAAACTGACTATCCTACCGATCCTTGACTTCGGCGATGTCATTTACAAAATAGCCTCCAACACTCTACTCAGCAAATTGGATGTAGTCTATCACAGTGCCATCCGTTTTGTCACCAAAGCCCCATATACTACCCACCACTGTGACCTGTACGCTGTTGTTGGCTGGTCCTCACTACATATTCGTCGCCAAACCCACTGGCTCCAGGTCATCTATAAATCACTGCTAGGCAAATCCCCGTCTTACCTTAGCTCATTGGTCACCATAGCAACCCCCACGCGTAGTCTGCGCTCCAGCAGGTATATCTCACTGGTCATCCCCAAAGCCAACACCTCCTTTGGCCGCCATTCCTTCCAGTTCTCTGCTGCCAATGACTGGAACGAATTGCAAAAATCTCTGAAGCTGGAGACTCTTATCTCCCTCACTAACTTTAAGCATCAGTTGTCAGAGCACCTTACCGATCACTGCACCTGTACACAGCCCATCTGTAATTAGCCCACCCAACTACCTCATCCCCATATTGTTATTTATTTTGCTCATTTGCACCCCAGTATCTCTATTTGCACATCATCTCTTGCACATCTATCATTCCAGTGTTAATACTAATTGTAATTATTTTGCACTATAGCCTATTTATTGCCTTACCTCCATAACTTGCTACATTTGCACACACTGTATATACAGTGGGGAGAACAAGTATTTGATACACTGCCGATTTTGCAGGTTTTCCTACTTACAAAGCATGTAGAGGTCTGTAATTTTTTATCATAGGTACACTTCAACTGTGAGAGACGGAATCTAAAACAAAAATCCAGAAAATCACATTGTATGATTTTTAAGTAATTAATTTGCATTTTATTGCATGACATAAGTATTTGATCACCTACCAACCAGTAAAAATTCCGGCTCTCACAGACCTGTTAGTTTTTCTTTAAGAAGCCCTCCTGTTCTCCACTCATTACCTGTATTAACTGCACCTGTTTGAACTCTTTACCTGTATAAAAGACACCTGTCCACACACTCAATCAAACAGACTCCAACCTCTCCACAATGGCCAAGACCAGAGAGCTGTGTAAGGACATCAGGGATAAAATTGTAGACCTGCACAAGGCTGGGATGGGCTACAGGACAATAGGAAAGCAGCTTGGTGAGAAGGCAACAACTGTTGGTGCAATTATTAGAAAATGGAAGAAGTTCAAGATGACGGTCAATCACCCTCTGTCTGGGGCTCCATGCAAGATCTCACCTCATGGGGCATCAATGATCATGAGGAAGGTGAGGGATCAGCCCAGAACTACACGGCAGGACCTGATCAATGACCTGAAGAGAGCTGGGACCACAGTCTCAAAGAAAACCATTAGTAACACACTACGCCGTCATGGATTAAAATCCTGCAGCGCACGCAAGGTCCCCCTGCTCAAGCCAGCGCATGTCCAGGCCCGTCTGAAGTTTGCCAATGACCATCTGGATGATCCAGAGGAGGAATGGGAGAAGGTCATGTGGTCTGATGAGACAAAAATAGAGCTTTTTGGTCTAAACTCCACTCGCCGTGTTTGGAGGAAGAAGAAGGATGAGTACAACCCCAAGAACACCATCCCAACCGTGAAGCATGGAGGTGGAAACATCATTCTTTGGGGATGCTTTTCTGCAAAGGGGACAGGACGACTGCACCGTATTGAGGGGAGGATGGATGGGGCCATGTATCGCGAGATCTTGGCCAACAACCTCCTTCCCTCAGTAAGAGCATTGAAGATGGGTCGTGGCTGGGTCTTCCAGCCAACGACCCGAAACACACAGCCAGGGCAACTAAGGAGTGGCTCCTTAAGAAGCATCTCAAGGTCCTGGAGTGGCCTAGCCAGTCTCCAGACCTGAACCCAAAAGAAAATCTTTGGAGGGAGCTGAAAGTCCGTATTGCCCAGCGACAGCCCCGAAACCTGAAGGATCTGGAGAAGGTCTGTATGGAGGAGTGGGCCAAAATCCCTGCTGCAGTGTGTGCAAACCTGGTCAAGACCTACAGGAAACGTATGATCTCTGTAATTGCAAACAAAGGTTTCTGTACCAAATATGAAGTTCTGCTTTTCTGATGTATCAAATACTTATGTCATGCAATAAAATGCAAATTAATTACTTAAAAATCATACAATGTGATTATCAGGATTTTTGTTTTAGATTCCATCTCTCACAGTTGAAGTGTACCTATGATAAAAATTACAGACCTCTACATGCTTTGTAAGTAGGAAAACCTGCAAAATCGGCAGTGTATCAAATACTTGTTCTCCCCACTGTATATTTTTTGTGGTATTTTTGACTTTATGTTTTGTTTTACCCCATATGTAACTCTGTTGTTGTTGTTTTTATCGCACTGCTTTGCTTTATCTTGGCCAGGTCGCAGTTGTAAATGAGAACTTGTTCTCAACTGGCTTACCTGGTTAAATAAAGGTTAAATAAAAATAAATTTGGGCATTTATAAGTTATATTCTTCAAGAATCCTTGTGAAATTGTATTTAAATGTTTTCTTTGTCTCTAATAACGTGGACATTTAAACACTAATAAAGATTGGTAGAATAAAGAATTTCCCCTAGTGCTCGTGCTGTGAGGCCTTAAGAAACACTACTGTTCCTGTTTTCTTCTGCACATGTTTGAAAACACCTGCGCCAGGACAGGCTAGGCATATAGTGTAGTAATGATATGCATTACAAAAAAAATCCTAAACACACAATTTATGACTGATTGCCTACAGGAATCATATTTGTCTGACTTATAGGAAGATTTTCACCATCATTGTAAAGCCCTGGTTATTTTGATTGCTTTGACAAAGTCGTTTCAGAAAAGTATCATTTATTTCATGTGATTCATTTACATTTGTCCCTCAGGTTTAAGGTCAACCCTGTTATGTGAACTGAACTCTCATTTTAATATGGGAAAACTATTCCTTTTTAAGTAATATTTTCAAAATAAACATTTAACATCTAACAGTCAACTGAGCGGGTTGAGCAGAACACGTCAACCCTGTTACCCAAGTAGAAAAATAAATAATTCATTAAGGCACTTATCCCTAATTGCTCCTGTAAGTCGCTGTGGATAAGAGCATCTGCTAAATGACTCAAATGTTAAATGTACTATGGAGTGGCATTTTTATATTGACAACAGGTATATATATCCTTCACATCAATAGACATATTTTCTCATTTTAATCTGTGTTTATGATTTGGCTTTATAACTAGATATGAGATGATGTACCCTTTGGACTCATGATGCAGCAGTTTTTATTTTGATATGGCGTCTGTGATAATAGTAAAGTATTAAGCATCTTCCTCAACATTGGTTCTCGTCTTGTTCCATTTTCTAGATTGACCAATCAGGAGTGACAACAATGACAGCATCAGTCCTCCTCTCTCCCCTGTCTCACCTGGTGTTCCTGGTTCTCATGGATCTGTCTCACCTGGATGGAGAGTTCACCTGTCGCCCAGGGACCCCAAAATAATGTAATTCTCTTCCCTTTGTGGCTGGCTACAAACTGGCTGGGGAGGGCTATGATGTGGTAACACTGCAGCGCAAGGGAGCCTATGTGCTTGATTTTTATAGCTACTTGACTCCTACTAACTCATGCACTGTATGTAATAACCCATTTGTGGGAGGTCAGTTGCAGAAACTCCCTCTCTACAAAACAACTGTAGGAAGGACATTCACAGCTCCTCAATTACACTACCAGTCAAAAGTTTGGACATACCTACTCATTCAAGGGTTTTTCTTTATTTTGACTATTTTTTACATTGTAGAATAATAGCGAAGACATCAAAACGATGAAATAACACATATGGAATAATATAGTAACCCAAACAGTGTTAAACAAATCAAAATATATTTTAGATTTGAGATTCTTCAAATAGCCACCCTTTGCCTTGATGACAGCTTTGCACACTCTTGGCATTCTCTCAACCAGCTTAATGAGGTAGTCACCTGGAATGCATTTCAATTAACAGGTGTGCCTTCTAAAAAGTTAATTTGTGGAATTTCTTTCCTTCTTAATGCGTATGAGCCAATCAGTTGTGTTGTGACAAGGTAAGGGGGGTATACAGAAGATAGCCCTATTTGGTAAAAGACCAAGTCCATATTATGGCAAGAACAAAAAATAAGCAAAGAGAAACGACAGTCCATCATTACTTTAAGACATGAAGGTCAGTCAATACGGAACATTTCAATAACTTTTAAAGTTTCTTCAAGTGCAGTCACAAAAACCATCAAGCACTATGATGAAACTGGCTCTCATGAGGACCGCCACGGTAATGGAAGAACCAGAGTTACCTCTGCTGCAGAGGATAAGTTCATTACAGTTACCAGCCTCAGAAATTGCAGCCCAAATAAATGCTTCACAGAGATCAAGTCACAGACACATCTCAACATCAACTGTTCAGAGGGGACTGTATGAATCAGGCCTTCATGGTCTAATTGCTGCAAAGAAACCACTACTAAAGGACACCAATAAGAAGAAGAGACCTGCTTTGGCCAAGAAACACGAGCAATGGACATTAGACCGGTGGAAATTTGTCCTTTGGTCTGGAGTCCAAATTTGAGATTTTTGGTTCCAACCGCCGTGTCTTTGTGAGACATGGTGTGGGTGAATGGATGATCTCCGCATGTGTAGTTCCCACCGTAAAGCATGGAGGAGGAGGTGTTATGGTGTGGGGGTACTTTGCTGGTGACACTGTCTGTGATTTATTTATAATTCAAGGCACACTTAACCAGCATGGCTACCACAGCATTCTGCAGCGATACGCCATCCCATCTGGTTTGGGCTTAGTGGGAGTATAATTTGTTTTTCAACAGGACAATGACCGAACAAATCAAATCAAATGTTATTTGTCACATACACGTGTTTAGCAGATGTTATTGCGGGTGTAGCGAAATGCTTGTGCTTCTAGCTCCGACAGTGCAGTAATATCTAACAAGTGATATCTAACAATTTCCCAACATATACCCAATACACACAAATCTAGTAAGGAATGGAATTTAAGAATACATATATGGACAAGCAATGACAGAGCGGTATGGACTAAGATACAGTAGAATATTATAGATTAGAATACAGTATATACATATGAGATGAGTAGAGCAAAATATGTAAACATTATTAAAGTGACTAGTGTTCCATTTCTTAAAGTGGCCAGTGATTTCAATAGGCAGCAGCAGCCTCTAATGTGCTAGTGATGGCTATTTAACAGTCTGATCGCCTTAAGATAGAAGCTGTTTTTCATTCTCTCGGTCCCAGCTTTGATGCACCTGTACTGACCTCGCCTTCTGGATGATAGCAGGGTGGACAGGCAGTGGCTCGGGTGGTTGATGTCCTTGATGATCTTTTTGGCCTTCCTGTGACATCAGGTGCTGTATGTGTCTTGGAGGGCGGGTAGTTTGCCCCCGATAATGCGTTTGGCAGACCACACCACCCTCTGGAGAGCCCTGCGGTTGCGGGCGGTGCAGTTGCCGTACCAGGTGGTGATACAGCCATACAGGATGCTCTCAATTGTGCATCTGTAAAAGTTTGTGAGGGTTTTAGGTGCCAAGCCGAATTTCTTCAGCCTCCTGAGGTTGAAGAGGCTCTGTTGCGCCTTCTTCACCACACTGTCTGCGTGGGTGGACCTTTTCAGTTTGTCAGTGATGTGTACGCCAAGGAACTTGAAGCTTTCCACCTTCTCCACTGCGGTCCCGTCGATGTGGATAGGGGGGTGCACCCTCTGCTGTTTCCTGAAGTCCACGATCATCTCCTTTGTTTTGTTGACGTTGAGTGAGAGGTTATTTGCCTGTCACCATACTCCCAGAGCCCTCACCTCCTCCCTGTAGGCGGTCTCGTCATTGTTGGTAATCAAGCCTACTACTGTTGTGTCGTCTGCAAACTTGATGATTGAGTTGGAGGCGTGCTTGGCCACGCAGTCATGGGTGAACAGGGAGTACAGGAGGGGGCTGAACACACACCCTTGTGGGGCCCCAGTGTTGAGGATCAGTGAAGTGGAGATGTTGTTTCCTACCTTCACCACCTGGGGCGGCCCGTCAGGAAGTCCAGGACCCAGTTGCACAGGGCGGGGTTCAGACCCAGGGCCTCAAGCTTGATGATGAGCTTGGAGGGTACAATGGTGTTGAATACTGAGCTATAGTCAATTAACAGCATTCTTACATAGGTTTTCCTCTTGTCCAGATGGGATAGGGCAGTGTGATGGCGATTGCATCGTCTATGGACCTATTGGGGCGGTATGCAAATTGAAGTGGGTCTAGGATGACAGGTAAGGTAGAGGTGATATGATCCTTGACTAGTCTCTCAAAGCACTTCATGATGACAGAGGTGAGTGCTACAGGGCGATAGTCATTTAGTTCAGTTACCTTTGCTTTCTTGGGTACAGGAACAATGGTGGCCATCTTGAAGCATGTGGGAACAGCAGACTGGGAAAGGGAGAGATTGAATATGTCCATAAACACACCAGCCAGCTGGTTGAGAGAATGCCAAGAGTGTGCAAAGCTGTCATAAAGGCAAAGGGTGGCTATTTGAAGAATCTCAAATATAAAATATATTTTGATTTGTTTAACACTTTTGTGGTTACCACATGATTCCATATTTGTTATTTCATAGTTTTGATGTCTTCACTATTATTATACAATGTAGAAAATAGTAAAAATAAAGAAACACCCTTGAATGAGTAGGTGTGTCCAAACTTTTGACTGGTACTGTACATCTGTCAGCTCTCTTGTACAGAGCTCCACCTCTATAATACGGAATGACTGGAAGGTGGGGCTCAACCTGAAGGATATAGGGTTGCAGCAGGCGGGCAGCAAGTCCAATGTGGAAAGTGCTGCATCCTCGTACTTCAAGGCAGACAAGTCCTCCCTCACCTTCCACCAGTTTACCTGCTCTCACTACAGGTCAGGTCATGTCTGAATGATCAGTTTGTGATCAGTTTAGGTCATGCACATAAACTGTATGACAAGATTATTAAAAAATTGAATGTAAATTCACACTACATGACGAGGCCTACCAATGCAATATAATTCAATTTTCACATTTCTTCATAGCTAACAAAAACAACAAACCCTGTCAACAACACCCACCTTCACAGTGCCCTGTCAACAACACCCACCTTCACAGTACCCTGTCAACAACACCTACCCTCACAATACCTTGTCAACAACACCCACCCTCACAGTACCCTGTCAGCAACACCCACCCTCACAGTAATCTTACTTTTTTCCCTCTCCTAGATTCCGGGCCTTCAGTAGACGCCCACTTAGCCGTGAATTCCAGCGGGACATAGCTTCTCTCCCAAAGGAGTACACATCCAACAGCTGTGATCCGTACCAGCAGTTCATTGACACCTATGGAACCCACTACATTCACCTGGTTGACCTTGGGGGGAGGATGAAGAGGGTGACTGGCATCCGCACCTGCTTGGCCACCCTGAACCAGGTCTCTGTGTCCCAGGTGCAGACATGTCTTAGTATGGGGTTGTTAAATGTGTCAAGTGGGCAATGTTCAAAGGTCTCTAACAACCAAGTGGGCAGTGTTCAAAGGTCTCTAACAACCAAGTGGGCAGTGTTCAAAGGTCTCTAACAACCAAGTGGGCAGTGTTCAAAGGTCTCTAACAACCAAGTGGGCAGTGCTCAAAGGTCTCTAACAACCAAGTGGGCAGTGTTCAAAGGTCTCTAACAACCAAGTGGGCAGTGTTCAAAGGTATCTAACAACCAAGTGGGCAGTATTCAAAGGAATCTATCAACCAAGACAGTGTAACAGGTTATGACAAGGGTTTCCTGAGCCACAGCACTGAGGTGACAGGTGGGGATGGCTGGATGGGGGAGGTTTCCATGACCAAACCAGACTCTGAAGGCTTCAAAAAATGGCTGAATAGTCTAAAAAGGATCCCAGACATCCTATCCTTCACTGTTCTCCCTCTGCATGACTTGGTTCATGACACTAATGTGAGAGATAATCTACAAACAGCTATTAGTCAGTATGTGATAGACAATGGGATTGAGAAAAACAAGACAGAATAGACACCTTGTGGGGTGAGTTCTCCCAACCTCTCTCCTGATTACTGCCCTCTGTTGGTAGGGAGAGGCAGACTGACTGTCTTTGTGGACCATGGGTTCAGTATAAGGGGTGATGGGTGGGCCGAACCAGAGGGTTACGTCAAATTGTGGCATGGAAATCAATACAGGTAGACCCACAGGTATACTACCTATGATCCACTTTGGCATACACATTTTTGACTTTGGCAACGTAAATACCCATCACCATCTAGTGCTCCAGGTATGGGAGAAGGATCTACATTTCAATGACCACCTGGGTGGGTGCACTATAAGCATACAGCTTGGGAACCATTATCATAACTGTGGACTGAACCATGGTAGTTTATCATGCTCCTACTCATTAACTTGTGACAAACACCTGACTGGTCCTACATGTGACCAATATATTCCCATCCCAAACTAGAGGGGAAACAATATTACAGCGGGTTGAGGATGAAGATTATTCAAGAAAACGGTTTTTCTTAGAAGATTGCCCATGTATTTTAGGCATATTTAGTCTATACATTTTTATTAGTGATTGATCAATGTGCAGTATGGTCCATATTTGTTGTCATATGCTAAGGAAACTAATTGTATCAAGTCAGAGGGACATACTGAGGCGTCTGAGCCCACTGAAGTTTCTGAGCCCACTGAGGTGTCTGAGCCCACTGAAGTTTCTGAGCCCTCTGAGGTGCCTGAGCCCACTGAGGTGCCTGAGCCCACTGAGGTGTCTGAGCCCACTGAAGTTTCTGAGCCCTCTGAGGTGCCTGAGCCCACTGAGGTGTCTGAGCCCACTGAAGTTTCTGAGCCCTCTGAGGTGCCTGAGCCCACTGAGGTGTCTGAGCCCACTGAAGTTTCTGAGCCCTCTGAGGTGCCTGAGCCCACTGAGGTGTCTGAGCCCACTGTAGTTTCTGAGCCCACTGAAGTTTCTGAGCCCACTGAGGTGCCTGAGCCCACTGAGGTGCCTGAGCCCACTGAGGTGCCTGAGCCCACTGAGGTGCCTGAGCCCACTGAGGTGCCTGAGCCCACTGAGGTGTCTGAGCCCACTGTAGTTTCTGAGCCCACTGAAGTTTCTGAGCCCACTGAAGTTTCTGAGCCCACTGAGGTGCCTGAGCCCACTGAGGTGCCTGACTATTATGTCTACATCTTAAAATAAACAATATCTTGTCCTACTGTATTATTCATTACAAGATTATTGGTCTAATGTTCGTTTAAATAAACGATATGTTGTCCTACTGTATTATTCATTACAAGATTATTGTTCGTTTAAGTTCTAATTTAAATTACGACCAGCTCCTTCCAAAACCTTCAAAGAAATATAATAAATACAAAGACTCCTGTTTACTTGATTCTATTCTATTCAGTTATCCTCCAGTTCACCTAAAATCAACCGGATGTTCTGCAACGAGTTAGAATAATGCATTGTCATGCTGCACCACTAGGTGGCAATAAAATATTTAAATATTTAAATTTAGACTGAGAGCGCCTGCTACCTCACATTGGAAATACCACTAGCAGCTTTAATGGCTAGTCTTGGGGAAAAAGTATTGTACGTCTCCTTACCTAGAAAGAAAGGAAATAACTCACTTTGTGACTCCTCACGGATGACACCGGTCGTGACGTGGTACATTTACTCCAGCAGCCATATGTTAGCTCTGGACTGAGATTCCTCTGTGTGAAATGTAATTGAAACACAATACCTTGCTCTTGTTAAAGATAATCCATCACTGTTCTAAACCTGTGATCACAGATCTTTGTTCCTGAAAACAAAGATCACCTTTGTTCCCAAACATCTTTGTTCCAGACATGCAATAAGTGATATGTGTACTGCAACAACCCAGAGCCCCCACAGGGAGCCAGACGGCGTGGCTGTGCAGACATCAGATAGTCTTAATTGTTTCTGAAGGGAAATACAAATATGGATTTTTTATGCGCTCCTGGCTGTTTGATCTTCAAGGCTAATTAAGTGAATACAATTATTGTTGTCACCAAGTACCTCTCAGTCCCCATCCATCCACATACTGTATACACACACACACACACACGCATGCACGGGCACACGCACACACACATACAACACACACACACAGACTAACATTTCAGACGGGGTATCGGTGATGAAATTTTTTTGTTTTCCCCTCAGTTTCTCTTCGTGCCCAGGGTCTGAATGATGAGGCACCATTACATAGATACAGAGCCAGAGAGAGAGAGAGAGAGAGAGAGAGAAAGAGAGAGAGAGAGAGAGAGAGAGAGAGAGAGAGAGAGAGAGAGAGAGAGATAGAAAGAGAGAGAGAGAGAGAGAGAGAGAGAGAGAGAGAGAGAGAGAGAGAGAGAGAGAGAGAGAGAGAAAGAGAACGTCCAGTGACTGTGCAGCTACACTGAGCACCAGACCCCTCAGACATGAGGATTCATAGACCTCTCACTCAAGAAAAAAGAAAACAATGTGCGCTGTAGAATTAACCACCCTCTAGGACACCCCAAGGACTGAGATTTGATCTTGTTTGAGACTACCGTTGGGATTTGGGAGCGATGTTGGCTTCCCTATAGGGTTACTATCATTATGTGGTTAGTGGTAGGACAAATAGGGGAGAGTACATGTCGGCCCAAACATTTTTTTAAAGACAATAAGAGGCTTGGAAAGGCAAATGTCTTTGAAAGCACAAAAGAAAATGTGTTTCTATAGAAGGTCGCCTTGAGAGAGGAGCGCTTAAGATGGCTGAGACTGTAGCAAAGGCAAACATGGAAGCAAATCAAATTATTGTTGGTTGGGTTTACATTTTTGATTTACAGTAAGGCCATTGGATGTTGTAATGTAAGTAACATAAAACAACAGCATTCAAACGTGTAGCTTGTGGGAGTTGATAAGGTAATCTGCCAAGCATCCATAAACCACAGAAAAAAGAGTGAGAGAGAGAGAGAGAGAGAGAGAGAGAGAGAGAGAGAGAGAGAGAGAGAGAGAGAGAGAGCGAGAGAGGAGAGAGAGAGAGAGAGAGAAACTCCCATATCTGTTGGGTGAAATACCAGTGAGCCATCACAGCAGCAAGATTTGTGACCTGTTGCCACAAGAAAAGGACAACCAGTGAAAACAAACACCATTGTAAATACAACCCATATTTATGTGTATTTTCCCTTTTGTACTTTAACTATTTGCACATTGTTACAACACTGTATATAGACATAATATGACACTTGAAATGTCTCTATTCCTTTGGAACTTTTGTGAGTGTAATGTTTACTGTTCATTTTTGATTGTTTATTTGACTTTTGTTTATTATCTATTTAACTTGCTTTGGCAATGTAAACATATGTTTCCCATGCCAATAAAGCCCTTTCAATTGAATTGAATTGAGAGAGATTGAGAGAGAGTGAGAGAGAGCAAGATAGAGAGAGAGAGAGAGAGAGAGAGAGAGAGAGAGAGAGAGAGAGAGAGAGAGAGAGAGAGAGAGAGAGAGAGAGAGAGAGAGAGAGAGAGAGAGAGAGAGAGAGAGAGAGAGAGAGAGAACCCACTGGATTCTCCAATTACATTGAATGAACTACAGGACAAAATACAAACCCTCCAACCCAAAAAGGCCTGTGGTGTTGATGGTATCCTCAATGAAATGATAAAATATACAGACCACAAATTCCAATTGGCTATACTTAAACTCTTCAACAACATCTTTAGCTCTGGCATCTTCCCCAATATTTGGAACCAAGGACTGATCACCCCAATCCACAAAAGTGGAGACAAATGTGACCCCAATAACTTCCGTGGGATATGCGTCAACAGCAACCTTGGGGAAATCCTCTGCATTATCATTAACAGCAGACTAGTTCATTTCCTCAGTGAAAACAATGTACAAATGTCAAATTGGCTTTTTACCAAATTACCGTACGACAGACCACGTATTCACCCTGAACACCCTAATTGACAAACAAACAAACCAAAACAAAGGCAAAGTCTTCTCATGCTTTGTTGATTTCAAAAAAGCTTTTGACTCAATTTGGCATGAGGGTCTGCTATACAAACTGATGGAAAGCGGTGTTGGGGGAAAAACATACGACATTATAAAATCCATGTACACAAACAACAAGTGTGCAGTTAAAATTGGCAAAACACACACACATTTCTTTCCACAGGGCCGTGGGGTGAGACAGGGATGCAGTTTAAGCCCCACCCTCTGCAACATATATATCAACGAATTGGCGAGGGCACTAGAACAGTCTGCAGCACCCGGCCTCACCCTACTAGAATCTGATGTCAAATGTCTTCTGTTTGCTGATGATCTGGTGCTTCTGTCCCCAACCAAGGAGGGCCTACAGCAGCACCTAGATCTTCTGCACAGATTCTATCAGACCTGGGCCCTGACAGTAAATCTCAGTAAGACAAAAATAATGGTGTTCCAAAAAAGGTCCACTTGCCAGGACCACAAATACAAATTCAATCTAGACAACGTTGCCCTAGAGCACACAAAAAACTATACATACCTCGTTCTAAACATCAGTGCCACAGGTAACTTCCACAAAGCTGTGAACGATCTGAGAGACAAGGCAAGAAGGGCCTTCTATGCCATCAAAAGGAACATAAAATGTGACATACCAATTAGGATCTGGCTAAAAATACTTTAATCAGTTATATAACCCATTGCCCTTTATGATTGTGAGGTCTGGGGTCCCCTCACCAACCAAGAATTCACAAAATGGGACAAACACCAAATTGAGACTGCATGCAGAATTGTTTACTACCTATGTACAACGAAAAACACCAAATAATGCATGCAGAGCAGAATTAGGCCGATACCCGCTAATTATCAAAATCCAGAAAAGAGCTGTTAAATTCTATAACCACTTAAAAGGAAGCGATTCCCAAACCTTCCATAACAAAGCCATCACCTACAGAGAGATGAACTTGGAGAAGAGTCCCCTAAGTAAGCTGGTCCTGGGGCTCTGTTCACAAACACAAACAGACCCCACACAGCCCCAGGACAACAACAACAACACAATTA